GATGGAAAAGAATGGATGAGAGTTAGACTGAAATATAGTACAGATGCCCAACTAACATCTGTAGTTGGCACTGTAGGCACTGTAAGAAAACAGTCTAAAAACTGCCCCTGCACAAAAGATACAGTCGCCATGTTTTGCAGTCAAAGAAGCAACTACTGCATAAACATTTTGGCAAGAACCTGATGCAGGAAAAAGTTAGAACAGTTTGATGAAATCGACAGTCCCTTCTCCAACTGCCTAATGGTATCCAAATTATACTCTCACCCCACTCATCTGAAACAGTATCTAAGGAGGATATTGGAAAAGGTAAGGTTGCCAGTCACCTCCACAATTGAAACACTAAGAAGAGCACAGTTTAAAGCAACACATTGATCCAGAGTATGATCCACAGTGTGGTTTCTCCAGAATGAGTTTTCTCGTCCCTGGTGATAAAATTGTCCATAGAATTGTTCATCCCTTTGCTTGTTGAGAGTTAATAAGACACATGCTTAAGACTGTATGTAGTGAAATTATATGTAGTATATTTTGCTTTAGAAACATTTGGCAGATTTGTTGTCTGTTTCCAGACAAAGCTATCATGAAATCAAAATGAAGCAGGTGCTAGTTTGGGTGTATGTTATTGTGACAAATAGTACTTTGTTCCCAAGGCATAAATTACTATATTTTGCTTCTATGTACTCTTCCATTTAAAAATCATTTAGTCTTCAGTTGACCATTACATTTCGGTTGAATTTATGCTGTGAGAATGAAATGATTGCCAGCCAGTATTACCGTTTTAAAGGAAATTATATAAAACAGTTCTTTTATTAATGCCATTCCATTAGTGCATGGAAGAAATACTTAACAGGAAGAAAAGTTAGCTCAGTTCACAGAGCAGCAGTCCAAGGTGTATCATACATACAGGTGCTATGACTCAATGGCGCCTCATTTTGGGAAGCTTCTATAACTGAGGAATTTAGGCAAGGACCTTCCCCATCATCAGAGCACACATGTCCCTTATGAGCTTCAGCTTTTTCTACCTTTTTGACTGATGTCATACCTGCATCTTAGAGGAAGCTTCTCTTATCATTCATACTTTTTGACTGAAAATAGCTGACATCTTTAGTATCTTTTTCTTCAGTCCATTATCATTTTGTATTGTAATTCTGTATACTCAGAGTAGTCCGTACTTCCAAGCAGATCCTATTATTGGGATCTTTGAGTCCCACTGCCAGCATGTCCATTATGTGGACCCATTACCACTGAGATCCCACTCTGCTCCATTGGAGTAGACTGCATCCAGAAGAATCTCTCTGTCCTTGGCACAGATCACCAGGGCCAGTGCCAAAGTTGTCTTGGACACTTGGACACTGCCTTTGCAGTTTTCCTTATTGTCCTGTTCAGTACCAACCCATTAGTCACCACCTCTATGCCAGGGCTTGCACTGCCTGAGAATTGACCTGATCATCCAGAAACATCGCCTCATTCCTCAGGGGATAATTATCATTTGGATTCTTCTTCTTCTTCGGTTCTCCTTTCAATATCTTTGCCAGATGCTACTATAGAGACTCAGGACCCCATCTCTCTGTCAGAGGACATGGAACATTTTTTTGACCTTATTCTTCAGACAGCAGTCTTGTTTGGCCTTTTCCCAAGACTTAAGGATGTAGGCTTCAGCACAGTTTACATGGAGACTTTGGTTGCAGTAGTTATCCTGTTTTTCCATGTTCTGCTGCAAATTGTACAATAATCATGGAAAGCTTTATCCTCAATAGTCTTGAACATATTTTAGTTTCCCCATTTATCACCAGATTCCATTACTGTGAAATTAACTCAAGAGCATGGATAAAGATGGCAGGCATATAGATCTAGGTGGTAGAAGAATCTGCTCCTCATCAACACTTGGATTAAAGGTCATGAATTATCAGGCAACCATGTCGTGCTACCATTTGTTTTTCTGGGAACAAAATGAGTCTGTTGGGTGTTTATCTGCCAGAAGAACCATGCAAGCAAGCTAGCTTAGACTTGTCTAAGCTGCAGATAAACACATACAATCATGAGGCAGATTGTGATGCAAAGGCCATGGTGGGAGTGATAGAAGCCTTACTCCAAGAAGCTCTTTCCTGCTTTGAAGACATGCCTTTTGAGAAACTTTATAATGTAGAAACCAATAAGCCAAGGACACAGTCCAGAAAGATGAATACAACCGTGCATAAGATGGGTTTAGGTCAACTTAACCAGTTCTGAGAGCAACAGCGATGCTGGGTTTGGCAACGAGCTTTTTATCCATCTCAGGTAGATGGGTTCTTTCAGCAACCCACACCTGCTATATCAAGATATCATTATCCCTAAGCAAGTTTGCACAGTAGTCATAAGAAGAATGACCCTAGCAAGCAACTTCTTTGACCCCCACGCCCATTTTTCTTTGTCCTTGCCCACTTCTGAATCTCAACTGCTCACTTTTCTGCCAGCTTGAACCACAATGACACTGGACTCCTGGATTCTCGGCATAAGCCAGAAGGCTACCAGATCAAGTTCACTGTCCCCTCCCTTCTTATGTTACAGCTGTATCCCAAGTACTACTAGCAGAGGTGGAAGCACTCATCAAGAAGAACAAACAAGGAAGGACCCATTCTTAGCAGCTTATGGATCTTACAGTTTGAATCCTGACATATTGTATGCCAAGGGATACAGATCATTGCTAGTCACACCACTGGCACAGACAATGTATTTGAGGAAATGCTGAGCAAGGCCCACCAAATTTCCCACAGATGGGAGTTGAGTGTCATTGTACTGAATATCCTCTTCTGATGAGGAATGCCAATGGTCAATCTCTTTGTCACTTTGGCAAACAGTATTTGTCTCAGGTTTGAAGTCACTCAGGTATGGGAAGAGGATTGCTAGGAGATGGGTTTTTCCTTTTCTGGAGTAGGGGATTCTTCTACCAATTCCTGTATTTCCAAAGGAGCAAAGACACACCATTGAAAAGACTAATACTGTATAACACAAAATTTGGATCTTCTTATTTATATGTATTGATTGTTTACTTGAAGCACTACTAGATTGATAACATGGGAGTTCACCTTTATGTAGCCAGATCTTCAGCTTCTCCTGGGCAGGGATAGCTTGGCCACAGGGGTACAGGTGCTAGTCATCTCAAGACTGGACCTCTGCAGTGTAGCTATACAGGGCCACCTGCAATATTGGTGCAGAAGCTGCAGGTAGTGCAGAATGCCGCAGCTTGGGACTGCTCCTTTTCAGCATGTAATACCTTTAAAGAGGGAGCTATATTGGCCACCTATTTCCCACTGGGCCAGGTTTAAGCTGCTGCTGTTAAAGCCTTAATCAACTTGGGATCAGGATAGTTGAGTGAGTGTAAAGGTGCTGCTGTCCTGCATAAATCTGCTATCCACTCATAGTAGAGCTCTTCCATGCACTTGCTCCGTCTCTTTGGAATTCTCCAACAGTTGATATCAGGCCAGTGACAATGTTGCTTCAGTTTCAGCATTTGCTACATAACATTTTTATTTAAATAAGCCTTTACTGAATAGTCAGCTACAGTTTTGTTGCGAGGACTTGATATTTTTAATGTATTTTTATGCTTTTTGGCTTTGCTCTCCATTGCTCAGGAATCTCACTGCTCAGACATAAAATGCCAATGAATGTCATAAATAAATTAGCAGACAATGGTCTGGGAAACTCTTGACATATCAGGCATGAGAAAGGGATGCATAGCTTCCCTGTTTCATACTAAGGTAAACAGATGTTCAGGGATATGGCCAAAGTGCCGCTTTTCTCTGTATCAGGATTGCACGATGCATGGCCTATGGAATGTATGTACCCTTGCTGCCATCTGCTACTATCCCCAATTCATAAGAAATACTTTTGAGAAAAAGCCATGTAGAGGGTATGGCACACCAGAAGAAACAAAACTGGTTCATCAAATTTGACCCTTTTAGTGCAAGCTAATAAAACACTTTTGTTGTCCACAGTGGTTATAGAATACCAAAACAATAACAGAAATAGCCCCTGGGTCTCTCAAATATACCATCCTCCAGGATCATTTCCATCATGTGAGATGTCCTGTGGAAAGGTTGAAATAGCCCTTTCCATGCAATTCTAAAAAGAAAGTAGAAAAAAAATTGTTCATGGGAGAAAAAGCAGAATAAATTGGCCCCTAGATGTTTCAGAGCCAAGTTCCTTCTCACTGCTATCCCATAACTAGTTTTCCTCTACAATTACATCAAATGCTATTGTGGATATACTTATAATTGAACAGAAGAAAACATTATTCTGACAGCAGTTGTGCTGTTAAAATATTTAAAAGTTGACAAATATTGTGGCTTAGGTTTTGGAGTAACTCGAGGCTACTACATATTAAATTAACGTTTTGATTCTCTGCAACAACTGCACATTTGTTGCATTAAAAACGATTTTCTAAAAAAAAAAAAAAAAAAAGTCCTAGTAACAATGCAACTAGATACCAGTGAAAGCATTTTACTTCTTTTAGCAGAACTATTTCTGTTGTATTCTAAAACTAATAAAATAAGAATAATGTCATAGGTATATCAGAAGCTGCCTCATACTGAGCCAGATGGCCCCATCATTGTCTACACTGCCTGGCAGTAGTTCTGCAGGGTTTGAGGTGTGGATTTTTCCAGCCTTACCTGAAGATGTGAGGGTATGAACCTGAGATTTTCCACATCTAAAGTAAGTGCTCTGCTACTGAGCTATGGACCTTCTCGAAATTATTTCATTGACGTTCATTGATGAAAAAGACCATGTTGGTTTGATTAGTACTTGCAAATTAATTTAATAAGTATTGGTTCCAGGACCTGAAAATTAGGGTTCATGGAGAACTAGTTGTGTGGTTTAATTATTTCTGTACGATGGTTACATGCATGGAAGCTTCCCCTTTAGCTTCAAATTATAACAAGGGTTCTGGGCTTCGACAATGGTGTTACCTAACAATATGGACATGCAGTTATTTAATAATATGCTTATGATATTGTCTTTGGCAGGATGAAGAAGTTGAAGGAGACCCTGGTGGCTGTCCAGCAGCTGGATAAGAACATGAGCATCTTAAGATCTTGGCTTGCCCATATTGAGTCAGAATTGTCCAAACCCATTGTCTATGAAACCTGTGACTCCGAGGAGATTCAAAGGAAGCTAAATGAGCAGCAGGTAAAATAAATACATGAGGTAGAAGAGCAAAAAACAAAAAATCATGAACCACCCACCCTCCCCATTGCATAATGGGGAGGGTGATCCAAGGGTGGTGCAGGCTTGGGCCTGCTGTATCCAGCTCAGATTTAGAAGAAGGCAGTGAGAGGAAGATGCCCTTGAATGTCAAGGCAAGTGGTGTTATAGCGTTACTCTGGTAGAGTCTTCTGCTGCCTGTGGCATCCAGTCGACATGGAACTGCTCACTGACCTACCAACAGAGGTAAGGCACTGCAATGTTATGTTCAGAATGCCAGCCACCGCTGTAATTGGCTTTTCCTGGTGTGGGAGTTTTGGAGTGGATTGTGAGGTGCTGTTAATCGTAATGGATCTAAAAGAAGCCTTCTGTGCTTGTAGTTGGCAAGCTTTATAAATGCTTGAAATTAGAATCTCCATATCCGGGAATGCCAAAATATTTGATCTACTTTGGCTGTACTTAAAACTGTGTCTTAATTCTTTTGCATGCAGAGTTGCATGAACTATACAGAAGTAATGTTTAACTTTCAGCATTAACTTGGGCAAAATCTGCTGTGAACTGACTAGAAGAAGAAATGAAACAATTGTGAAAAGGAATTTTCAGAGGGGGCAGATGATGAGCATTTATTGTAGGTTTTTAATTGTGTGAAACTCCCTTAAGGCATTTTTATAACATGTCTATTCATCCATATTTCAATTGCAATCAATTTGCAATTTAAAAATCATTTTCATCAACCACATCAATTTGTAACCACTACCAATTTGGGTAGTGGTTACAAATTTTCACAGCATCAACAAAAATGAGAAAACAGAACGAAATATATAAAACAGTGAAATCCCCACTTTCAAGTCTCAAGCCTACTGAGCTGTACCCACCGCACCCCAAGTAGCAAAAAGTGTGCACTGTTGGATCAGTTATACAGTGACTGGGTTTGTAGAATTGCCACTGCCCACCATAGTTTATTTAAGCCACAATCAAATGCACCATATGCTGGACACCCTTTTGGTTATTCCAGCTGCAGTTCATGGTCACTGTGGCATATTGCATTATGCAGACCCAGTTAGGTTAATTTATGTGAGCATCAAATAATACTCATAAGCCATGGACTGCTGTACTGTTGTGCAGGGGGATTATTTAACCCTCATGTAAACCACCCTTATCAGCTTCACACAACACAATTAGCCAAAGTAACCATGCACTGCAGCTTAAATATATAAAAGGGCAGCCGGCTGCACCACTAAATGAGCCACCCTGGCTCATTTAGTGGTCAGTATGTAAATCGGGACAGCTACAAAGATTGCTCATCTTTTGCAGCATAGATTTAACTTGTGGCCAATACATTCAATGACTCCTTGGGACCAATTTTAATCAAATTGCTGCTGCGAATGAGACTATAGCTGGGTTTATCCAAAGAAACAAATGCTTCTAAGAAAGCTCACCTTGCGTGATTGCAGTTTAACAGTGGAGGAGGGACTTGTGGAATCTTCAGAAGGTGGTTGTGTTAGTCCCTTACAGCAAAAATGACCAATCTTGTGGCAATTGAAAGAATAGCAAATTTATTTCATTAGACTATAGCCAATGAAACTGTTGTTGTTATGGAAGATTGTGAATACTTCTCTGTGCTTGGCTGAAAAAAGTAAAAATGAAAGCGGAATCCAATCCTTACATCCTCTTTGCCCTCGTTATACTGCTGACACAAATAGACTATTTGTCATATCAACTCTTTCTACAAGTAGACAAGATGCAGTAAGCTTGTACTGACTCTGTGGCCTATAAAGATCACAAAAGAAGACAGGGAAACAGCCAGACTCTTGGGGGCGCTGTGTAGCTGTGGAAACAGTGCAGTGCTGGGACAGGTACATTTTTTTATCTGGCGATCAACAATGAAGGCAGCTTGCCAAGCTCAGCTCCACAATGCTGCCAAGCAGACAGCATAAACACTCCTTCCAGGGTTCCTAAGTGCCTTCTAATTTCAGGGGTACAAGGCTATGGATGGCTTGGCTGTCCAGGGTCACATATAAGAGTGCAAGGGTTCACCCATCTCACTGTGGAACAAAAAGCACCTCTAGCCAGAGCAGCCATTGCTTTTGTAGTGTCTGAAATGAAAGGCTGAGATCAAATAAGCTAATTACCTTTATAGTAGGTCACATGGATCGTGTAGCTATTTCCTCTTTTATTGTTAACATTCCAAATAAAGGTGCAACAAGGAACAATGAGAAGAATTCTCCTAGGTCAAAATGGTTGATGATTGCAAGTGTAAATTCTGCAGCATAGGATGAAAAAATACACTTTGGATTTCTATTGCTGAATCTTTCACATCTGTGTCTGTATGAAGGATAGCAGTTCTACTTTGAAACTGGTTTTTATGCATATTCATCCATCATTTCTTCCACAGAGCCTCTTATTGATCTTCTGAACTTGACTCTAGGTTGCCCAATAACCCACCTCTGCTTTCTGTCAGCCTCATCTTCCCCATCTCATGCATCTTTGCCCTAGTCCTTTATCAATGCCATGCCTGCGCATGCAATTCTTACTTCTTTCCCTGTCTTCCTTGTAACTATTCTTTGGGATGATGGCCAGCCAATGAGATAAATCACAGAATCATAGATTCAGACAGGAACTTGGAGAGCATCTTATCCAAGTTATGCTCAGGGCAGGTTCCTTTAAACACTCAGCTCATTGTTTTTTCCTCAGCTGAGACCCAGAGCCAGCCACTCCTTTTTTATTGAAGTTGCTTTTGATGAATACAGAAAACATAGCTTTTTAAAACATTAATGTTATATCCTGTCCTTCCAATAAAATAGTGCTTTAAGAGTATAGCAATAAAATACATGCAAAAAAGGTAAAAGTTATATTAAAATATTGCAGCTTAGCAATTAAACACAAACATACCAAATAAAATATTCTCTACTCAGAACCCTTCCAAAGATCTAGTGTGCTTCTGCCTAAACGACAATTCAACCTATAATCCTGAAAAGCTTGCTCAAAGGTTTTGGATTTCAGTGCAAATTGACAAAAAACCTGTATTGGCCAAGCTTGCTTGTCAAAAACTTCCCACACACTTCTGCTTTCTTCATTCCTTTGTATTTTCTACACAAAAGTCCCTACTCCCTACAAGCAAGGCCTATAAATATACCACTTTTCTGATTGTTATGATATACATTTATTTATTGTTTTATTTATTTCATTTTTATAGCACCCAGTAGCCAAAGTTCTCTGAGCATTTAACAAAGGTTAAAAATTAAAAGTTAAAAAGACACACATGCACAATTTACGAGAACAAACCATAACAGCAATTGCTATGATTCAGCATAGAAGCCTATCAGCAATGCAGAATAAATTGGAATATATAAAAACACAGTTTAAAAATCAAACTACTAAAATACTGGGAAAATAAAAAAGGTCCTCATCCAGCACAGCAAAGAATGCAAAGTAGCCTCCTTCCGGGTGTCAAGGGGTTCTGGGAAATCTGCCCTTTGTGGAAGGGGCTGTAGTGGCCATGTGACCCCCCCCCCCAGCCTATCCCCCCTCCACAGTGGCAATCATTTCCAGCACCCACTACAATGCAGCTGAGCTACATCCTGTGCCCTGATGGTACCACATGGCCCCAGCATTTATTTTAAAAGGCCATGTGCTGTTATCAGGCCTGAGTGGCTATAATTTTTCTTCCTCTTGGCCGAAAAAAACATGCACATTCTAGTCTTGCTGGATAGCTACTGTAAATGTCCGTTCCGAATGCGTGGCCCCTTCATGATTTCTTGGAAGTTTCAGCACACATGAATGAAACCTGTGTGTGATAGACAGAAGAATGTGGCAGCTTTTCAGTGACAATTGGTGATACTTACTGTGTAATACTGGGAATATGAGTATTATTATGCACATATATTTTATTTTTTAAAAACCCCAACCAATTAAATGGTTGTAAATAACTTGTGTAAATTATCTTCTGACACATGAATTTGTGCTTACTTGGACTCACACATTTTTTCTCTGGAAAGTGTAATCCAAACAAACAATTAAACCTGTTTATAGATCTGCTTTCCTTGTAGGTTTTTTTTTAATGAATAGTCGAGGGCCCCTAAGTTTTGCTGTTATTTAAATAGACCCAGTTCATAGGTAATGGCAACCCATGATTTTAACCCAGTGTGCTGGTTCACTTGGCTCATTCTCTCCTACAGTTAGTAGGAGTCTCGACTAAACAAGACATGACATCTGGTCATGACATCTGGTTTGTCTGATCCCTGAGCCAGGCTAAATTTTGCATTTGAACTCCGGGTTGTTGAGGGAAAGACAAGCCAGAGTTATACTGGAATATCATGCTGAACAACATAGAACTACTATGTCCCTGGCTTCTTTAGCCACCCTCACTCATAGGGTAAGCTAAGCAAGAGCAATCAAGTAGCATAAACCAGCATGCTGGCTTCTTCACAACAACCCAGGATTGGAGGGAGGAAGGAAACCTGGGTTATCATTATGTGCAACCAGGCCACTGCCCAGTCATGAAGAAAGGATTAAACAGACTATTCAGCAGTTTTATTCCACACAATTAAGGGACGTTGCCAGTAAGTTAGTCTTACCAAGTAAAGGAGCCCAGGCAAATCCACAGGCTTGTCTTTCCCCTCTCCTCCCTTCTAAATGGCAGAAGAAAGAATAAACCAGAAGTCAGACTGCTTTAACAGAATCCTGGTATATCATTGTGTGTCAACCAGGAATTATAGTTTAAAATAGACTCTAATCAATTGCTTATAAAGCCAACCACAATCATTGGAATGCACATAGTAAGGGAAAGATCTGTTCAAGTGAAATTGAGTCCTGATTTATTCATCTCTTGTTCACACAAGAGGAAGCGGGGGTAGGAATACATGCAAACCTGGTGCTTTTGGATTCTTTTCTGCTTATGCATGTAGCATAGCTAAACAGTTGTGTTCACTGCTTGCAATGTCCCTTGGAGAGTATGGTAGTTCAACTATCTTTTCATCACAATGCTTGGATGTGCAAACCATCTGTTTGTATAACATCTTTTTAGCAAGTTTAAATGGGTTATACATTTATTTTGCAAAGAGATACGTCAGAACTTGTGGCGACTCTGTTAACCAATGTTTTGACTTACATTGACACAATCAGTATAACCAGAAAAGCAACCACATCCTGTTCAGGAACTGCTCTCCTTAGCTTGCGGGTTTGATGGGCCACAGACGCTGGCATCATATATAAGGAAAAAAACAAACCTGTGGTCCAGCCACCCACTATAATTCAGGGAAAGACAGCCATCGTTACTCTGCACTACAGTGCAACTAAGGGCCAATGACTTCACACACAGGTTTCAAAAGCGTACTCGTAAACGAGGTATCATTGCTTTAGTTTAAAAAAGCAGTCACAGAGAAACAGTGAGAGGCAGATTTAATTGTTTTCTCCAAGCCATTTTCCACTTTGTATATAAATCTCAGCAAGTACCTTTGATTTTCCAAGCTGTTAGGAACACCATGGTCCCAGTCTGGATGCAAGCACTATTTGATTTCGGTAAATGGAGCCATGAACACGCTAAGCATGCTTTTGAATAATTTGTCTATCGTAATGATGATTATCGCTGACCCCAGTATTGTCAAGGATAATCTGGACTTTATTTGTGGATGCTAGTGCACAGGTATAGGGCACAGGGGGAACTTTTATTGGATGTTTCAGTTTCCATTTTTAAAGTCCTGAAAAAATTGTGTCAGCAGTTCAATTTGACCCAGATTTCTGAATGCAAACCCTGCTGTAGTACACATCTATCCCAATGCGTTGTTTCAGTCATAATAAAGGGTGCTTTGGAGCCTTGTGTCTTCATACAACACTGGAACAACACATCCAGTGCATGTTCCATGTTCCAGAATCGTGAATTGTCAATTTTGATGGCTGTTATCCAGAGATCTAAGATGGCTATGCTTTTCCTTCCTTTGTAAGGAAACACATTGCATGTGCATGAGCACTCCCTATTGTGTGTTTTTGTATTGTAATAGTTGGTCTTTTCATAAAAGAGAATGATTCCGCTGTTTTTCCTGTTGGATATCCTACAATGCTAAATGAAGGAGAAGGAAGAAAGCCCACAGTTTGAAACATGATACAAATGCAGAAGGCAATTGCAAACCCTTTGGAGAAATGTGACCTGACATCGGGAGATGATAGAGTACTGGCACACTTCAAAGCAGAGGATGTCTTGTCTCTTGTGGCCTGTACCCCACTTTAGCTAGGGCTGGCAAGCCTTGGACTCATTTCCTTACAGCAATGTCCCCTGTAAAAGCTGCTTCCAGGGGCAGGGGGTTGGGGTTCCCAGTCTAATGAGATATGCAGTTCTATCAATCTCACCTTGGAGCAAACATTACGAACTGCTGAACGGCGTGCTTAGAGTTAGCATCTTCTGTGAGGATGATGGTCTATCTCTACGTTGATTCTAACAGGTGCTTTTTCTGCTGCAAATATCACCATGTGTATTCCCCCACCATAAGTTTCCATGCCCTTTGCAACTATTTGTTTTCATCCAGTGCTGGCTGTTGGAAAGCACATAGCAACCTTAGCTTCAATGTAGAAGAATATCAGTTTTTTGTGTTCAGATCATGCTGGGCCACAAGCAGGGATCCCAAGGAACCAGTGAAGCCAATCGGATCTCATATTCTGAAACTCCACTTATAAGAACACCACAGAATTCCAGACTTTGGGGTTTGTATAACCCCAGCTAATTAGTTCAGACAGTAACTCCCTGGATGGGGCAGTGACAATTAGCAGAGTGATGATCAATGCTACAGAATTCAAATTCTGTTTTTCAAATCAAGTAGTTGTAGAGAAGCATTGAAGTCACTTCAGGGTGCCACTTAAAGGCAATTGAATTTGGAGTTCTGTTAATTTGTTTGTACAAAGAGCATTGTTACAGACTGCAGCAGAGGGAAGGGTAAATCAGTTTCATTGCAGGGAGTGAAGATTTACAAGGTTCAAAGATCTGCTTCTGGGTATATATAAAATGAAACAGCAAAAGGTAGTGATTGCTTTGTACATTACAAAACGCCTCTAGCTATGTTAGCCACACAGGTCAGTCTGTCTTAACTCTTCCTTCTCTTTCAGCAAAGGGTTTGTGCTGTCAAAGCCCTTTCAGTTTGAGAGACAGGGCAGGCGGCTTGCAGCCCCCAGCCTAGTTGCAGATGGCCTCTGTGTGTGACCGTTTGCAAAACTGAACTGCTGCTTTCCTAGAAGCCCAGTGGATAAGAAGGAAGAAGGCAAGAGAGACAATGGAGTGGCAAGAGAAGGAAAGGAGAGGGTGGAAACACAAAAGGGATGACCCACCCACTTGTGGCTCTGGCCTTCTCACCATGGCTCTAGGCTCATCCACTACCAACATGTGAGCCTTAGTGCATTTCCCAAGAAGGAATGCAGCCCTTGATGGAAAATAAAGGCTGCCCATTACACATTTAATTGAGCATCCTCCCGTGTGTTGGGAGTGACTGTGTCCCATCCTCCAACAAATGCTCCCCAGCATTGGATCTCACTTCCAAGGATATCTGCTTAGAATCGGAGACAAAAAACATTAAAAAGTTTGCTAATTACTCATGGAAAGGTTTGGAGTGTCTATTGTTTGCCAAGTTGGCTAGCAATTTTGCCCTAATTCGTTTGTATTTTAAGCTTGCCTTGCTGCCTACACTGCATATATCTGTTTAGTGCCTGTTTTCTTTAAAATGTTTACACATTCACCTATTGACCCTTAGGAGCTGCAGAGAGATATAGAGAAGCACAGCACTGGAGTTGCATCTGTCCTCAACCTCTGTGAAGTTCTTCTCCATGACTGTGATGCTTGTGCCACTGAAACAGAATGCGACTCCATCCAGCAGGCCACACGGAACCTGGACCGAAGGTGGCGGAATATCTGTGCTATGTCGATGGAAAGGAGACTCAAGTAAGCCATTTCTTTCATGGCTTTCCCTGTTCCAATTTCATTTTTAATTAATTCATTTATTAACGTTCTATAGCACTCAAGAGCGGGGCATTTCACAACAATTAAAATAATGAAATACAACATAAAATGCACTGCAAAAGTTTAAAACTTTGGCAAAGGTAGAAATAAAAGCTAAAGTAAAATCTAGTATCAATGCCAAGTTTTAAAATGCAGCAGTTTTGTTATTGTTTTATTTGCAAATGATTTTTGACTTTTAAGTGAGTACTGAGCCAAGTAAATCTTTGGATGATTCTCTAGATTTCTCAAAATGGAACGAAACTTTGTCAATTATTCTGTAATCATCAAAGTATCTATTTATGGTTCTCGACCAGTGTTCTCAGCTTGTCAAGGTCCCACAAGCACCTCTTCCAATTCCTGGGCCATTCTAGCTGTGAATTATGTACATTAAAGTCCAGCACTTCTGGAGTGCATCAGGTTAGGAAAGCTGGATCTAGTCATAGGCCTCAGTCTCAAGCTTTTGTATGGGCAACATTAGCTTTAGTTCATTAGTCCTTCATTTCCCTTGAAGAAGGACTGTACCTCAGTGTAGAGCAGCTGGTGGCATGAAAGGCAGCTAATTATTATTAATTTAATGTGACTGGGACACAAGTTGGATACAATACACTTTGACATGGGAATGGGGAATCATCTGCCTCAGGCAGCAAGATGTTTTGGGGTAGTCCTGACAAGTCAGTGCTTAGACATTGCTTAGCTTAATGGACTCACGGTCTGATTCAGTATAAGCAGCTTCCTATAATGACAATGTTTTCATTTTTTAAATGCAGACATAGTAGACAGTATTTTTAACATTTTCATTGCAGATTTATAATTTAATGTTGTGTAGATTATATAATTTGTTATTTGCGGTACTACATGATGGATCTATTTATTTATACATTTATTTATTATTATTAATGTATACAAGATGGAAAATCTCCATGACTGCTCATTAAATTCAACACAAGGTTAATGTCAGCCTTTAACATGCTTTTTTATGTTTCTGTTCAGAAAGTATACTAGAGCAGCTGCAGTGTGTATAAAGAAGATTGCATTTCTGGGCCTCTTCTGCTCAGTGCTGAGTTTACAGTTTTCTTATAATAAACTCAAACTATTTTATATGAATTCCAAATGAAAATTTACTGTATATAAAAGAAGAAAGCAACAACCCACAGCTGTCTTATTCCAGCTCAGGCTGGATCCAGTCAGTGATTTTTGTTGCTTGTTAATCAAACTTGCTGTCAAGCTTTGGTTAAAAGCCAGTTATTGTTCAGTACAACTGTTGTTTACTTGGGCCTGCTTAAGTTTGCAGCTGGTAAGCTAGATGAGAAATCCACAATTAATTGAAGTGAATCTCAGTCCACTTTTTATTTTTCTGTTTCAGAATTGAAGAGACATGGAGATTGTGGCAAAAGTTCTTGGATGATTATTCTCGCTTTGAAGAATGGCTAAACATTTCTGAAAGGACAGCTGCCTTCCCTAGTTCTTCTGGTGTGCTATACACAGTCGCTAAGGAAGAACTAAAGAAATTTGAGGTGACTTGTCATGTTGGAATTATTGCATCTTTTGATCTCTTATGGCAATGAGTTTGTTCTTGGTCTGTCCAAGCACTTATTACTTGACAGGAAGAATAATTATTAATAAGAAGTGCTTGAAATTTTGCAACGACCTTGAGAGGATTAATTCGCTAGAGACAATTGTCCCATTTCTGCAATTCTGATCTTGAAGTGTTTAATTCTCTTCATATAAAATGTTAAATCATGCTTTAGAACTGCATGCATGAGCCTTGTGTGTTTTTTTCACCTTGCCTCTTCTGGTGCAGTCACAAAAAGGAGATTGGAAGGTCTCACTTCCATTTTCAACTAACCAGTGCTTATCATGTCCAAACCGAGATAAACAGTAGCTAATGTTAGCTGTGGCTTAGGTCAGGAGTGAGCATCTTGTGGTCTTCCAGATGTTTTATCCTACAACTCTCATCATGTCTTACTATTGACCAGGGCTTTTTTTGTCATAGAATGCACCGGAACAGTGTTCCTGGACCTTTTTTTCCAATGGATTTTACGAAGTGATTTTGAATCGTAGCAGATCAGCAGCAAACATCATTAACATAGTGCCTGCAGGCTGCTTTTGTGTCTGCTATCTGATAGTGAGATAGTGAGGGCGCTGCTCTTGGCTTGAGACGCTGCTCCGCTGCTCAGCTTGGGATTGGTGTGTGTGGTCGCGCGCTTACTGCCGGCGACATGAGTTCCGGCACCATTTTTTTTTACAAAAAAAAAAAGCACTGCTATTGACTATACTTCTAGGCATGATGGGAATTGTAGTCATCAATACCTTGCTCAACCTTGGTTTAAGGAAGCAACCCAATCGCCAGCTATGACAAAGGATGCTGTTATTTTTTCTGTGCAAAATTTGCACTTCTATAAATCTTACAATGGAATTCTCTAATTGCAAGACTGAAGAAATTCTTAAAATTCAAAATGAACCAAACAAAAATTAGAAAAATGAAAAACAGAGAAGCCAAAATGGACAGATTTGTCTTTCCCTAGTATGAATAATACTATTTTTAATTGATCAAATGACAATTTGGGGAAGTAGGATAGCACTGACATGACTCCCCTTTATATTCCTTTCCCTATCACACATAGAGCCAATTAGTTACTGCCTGTTTAAGCATATGATATATTGACATTACATTGGGAACAGAAAACTATGGCTTGTGTTCACCATTCAAACCAAGATAAGAAACCAGCTTCAAGCCATAATATCCGTTCTTGGTTGGAAGACACACCACAAATCTGTCAGTATCAGTGCAAAGACAAGCTATAGTTTGCCTGAAACCAGGGCATAGTTAATTGACTCTGAATGCATAGGATAAAGTGGGAGTATACACAAAAAAAACATATAGCCAGTTCTGCAAACTGTGACTGAGAAAACTGAAAACATTAAACCATCCCTGTAAATTTTCAGTACTAGAGCTGAAAATATCCCTACTATGCCAAGTGCTGCGGCTGCTTTATTTTGTAACATTAAAATGTTCTTTTCTAGCCTTCCTTTCCCTTCCCAGTTCTGTGCTTTTCATATGCATGTGTAAGTTTGTGTGAATGAATAATTTATTTCTGGGAATATTTTTCCAGACTTGTCTGTCTATTCATTCCATCTGCCCTTAACCCACAGAAATACTGTGTGTTAGATGAATTCTACTAAATGAAACTCAACAGGGTATATTTTGTTAGTCTCTGATTATTTATTAAAACTGAATCTTGTGTTCCCCCGCAGGTTCCTTCTCTGGTTTTTGTGTCACTGTCTTTTAACCTTATCATTTCAAATTGCTTTCCCCATTATCCTCTGAAATGCTGAATTATATCAGCACTTCAAAAAGCAGGGATAAATGTTTTCCAGAACTAATTTAACTTTTCTTTGAAATTTCCCAGTTATTTCTGCCTTCTAATAAAGATATTATAGAACAAAGAACTACGATGATCAGAGGGAAAAAATGAGCCAAAATTCCTGTAATTAGGGTGTAGAAGTTGAGATTTCAACAGTTACATATGAGAAAAGCTGCATCTATTTTATGCAGCTTTTGAAGGCACATGAAAAAGCACATTTCTGTGCATAAGGTTACATGAGATGGCTTTTAAAACTCTGGTCTTTGCTTTAGCATTTGTACATACTTGAAACACCAAAATATAAATGCTGCAACCTTTCCAATAATAAAATATGGGAGTGATTTATGAGTCAAAAGATCACCATTAATGTTCCTTGAGATTTTCTCATTATAGCCATACTGGTGCTGTTTTGCTTATTGTGTAGCTGTGGCACCATGGATCCCAAATATCTTTGAGCAATTATTTAATAGCAGTTGCTTGAGCAATAAGTTACTCGTACCATGGCTTAAATGTTTTGGTATAGCTCATTTGAAGGGCCTCATTCTTGAATGTTATTAGGCACTACAGTTGGCCAAATACAAGTCAATTCATCATTGTTAAGATAGCATTGAGATGTTGAAAACATTCACAGCTGTCTGTCCTCCAGGCAGAAGTTACTAACAGGTGAAATAGCAACTGTGACCCACCAAATATAAGGGCTGGCTGTTTTAATTCCTCAGTATTTGAAATAAATTCAGAAGCAGGTGCATTTCATAACTGAGAAATACTGCCTTTGTAGCTTCTCTGTTACACTTACCATCTGTCTTACTCATCTCTGTTTACAAAATCCAGTGTATTAAAAAAAACTTATTTCTATCCACTTACTTAACCACTTTTCTCCATTATATACTGACATTTAAATTGAGTTCATTTATGAAAAGAATCCTGTGAGGATTTTTGTGGCTTCAAATTACTTAGCCCTCTTTTGTCCTTGTTGGTACCTTTGCTGCAAAACTACCTATTTTCAATTTAATTACCAAGGTTACACAAATAACTGGGAGCAAAAGCAATGCTTTTTTGCTTTCAGTAAGCATTTATCTTTCTTTGGATTACTTTGTTTTGTAACATGTAATGATTCAAGGACAGAACTAAATAGTCCAAAGGAAATTTATTAATCCCCTCCTCACTACATGTGTACTTATATATCCTGTTTCATATATTTTTTATGTGGTTCATTTAAATAGTTTGTATCAGATACACTTTAACTATGCTGTATTACCATGCACTTAAGTGGATGCAATTAATACACTGCATTTCATTCTCCATTGGGCTATCTCCCTTACCTTTGAGATCGGGTGCTTCTGTTTGGGTAATGTTATCTAAGTAATGTATTCTATTATTTTCATTGTAGTGTCTTCCAGATAAAATAGATTGATAGGCACTCTGACTTGAAACAATGCTGTACCAGCAATTTTTTTGATTAAATAAACAATCCCTCCAAAGACACAAGCAGAATAAAATTAACAGTATAAAATACAAATAAATCATCTTGTGATTCTCACCAAGGTAAAGACTTGGATTACTTGTCAGTGAAAGCCTGTGTGAAAACTCAGAATTGTAGGAGCTTGTCTATTGACCTCAAGGAGTGCAGTCTATAGCCCAGATGTGGGTTTGGTGGTAATTCACAATGGGCCTGAAGTAGGAGTAAGTGCACCACAGAAGCTGCCTGCAAAGCAAATTGTTCTAAGTAACTCAAGGAGTTATCCTATATTATATACCCTAAATTGTATAATACAGGGAAAGGGAAAACAAGCACACAGTATCATCAGCTAATTGGATGCAGGGAAAGATTCATTGCCTACCTTGAATTTACCTACACACCCTAACAAACAAAAACAGTTTTCTGAGTTTTTCCAAATAATCTTTTGTGGAGCCTCAAATAAATATCACCCTACATTCTGTCCCCGTTGTGTTTGTCCTTGATGTCCTGCAGTAGGCAAAACATTTTAACATCTCCTTAGTTCAAAGTAACAGAGGCCTTTGTTTCATTAAGATACCAACCTTAGCTTTCTACACATTATGGAGATGCCTAGGAGTCATTTTCAATTCCAATGACATGTTTAAGTCAAGAATGACACGTGTGACATCCCAATGACATGTAGTACTGAATTAAAGCTCCTAACTGAAATAAAATTCAGAGAGATTTCCCCTTGGTGAAATAATGTAGCACAAAAGCGACTTAAATGCATTTGTGTCTTGAATATTTCCATCATCAGAGATCTCTCTTCTGTAGAACTGTTGCCAGTTACAAGGAGTGAAAAAAATACAAATTGGAAATACCTGCTGCAGAGGTCAATGCTCTGATAGCGACTTTGTTTCTCCTGTTTTTATAGGCTTTTCAGCGACAAGTGCATGAAAGTCTGACTCAGCTGGAGCTGATTAACAAACAGTACCGCCGCTTGGCCAGAGAGAACCGCACAGATTCGGCTGGCCGCCTCAAGCAGATGGTACACGAAGGAAACCAGAGATGGGACAACTTGCAAAAGCGTGTGACCTCCATCCTCCGCAGGCTTAAAGTATTTCTCCATTTTAATTTATTCTTTATGGTGGTACACACTTACTGAGTGTATGCATCTAACTGTTTTCTCTCTATCTTACTGGTATATTTGCTTTGTGTGCTTTACTTTTGAGTCATGTCTGATGTGCTAAATTTGTGAGTTTCAGGCAGTGCAATTCATTTCTTTGCCTTCTGTCTTTTTAGCATTTTATTGGCCAGCGTGAAGAGTTTGAGACAGCACGTGACTGCATTCTGGTCTGGCTAACAGAGATGGACCTGCAGTTAACCAACATTGAACACTTCTCGGAATGTGACGTTCAGGCAAAAATAAAGCAGCTTAAGGTAAAGAAATGCAATGTACAGTAGGCTTTGGCAGTCTGTTTTGCATATGTGCAGGGCCAGCTGCCAGAACTGACTGGGAATTATGGGAGTTATGCCCCAACACATCTGGAGAACACCAGACTGGGGAAGGCTGATCTATAGGGACATAAAAGAACATAACACAAAGATGCCCAGCATACATAACACAAAGATGCCCAGCATACATATGCTTCTCTGGAAAAAAAATGGGTGAGCCCAAATGGGAACACACCAAACATGAAACATTCACTATGCACTATAAAGATGATTTCATACCAACTGTAGCAACTTAGTCAACAAACAATAGTCAACAAGTTGTGCCTAAAAATTGAACTGCTTCATACATAACTTCTCCTCATCCATATTTAGAGAAGAGTGACAAAAAGTTTCTAGCCAAATCTATTTAACATCTGAAGGGGAAAATATGGGCCCGCACAGTCATTTTGACCTCCCAGATTAGTCACATCCAGGTACAGACATTGCAGCTGTCATTCAACATATTTAATCCCTTTTCTTCTTGTGTCTAAGATGTGAGCAGGGAGGCATTATATATGAAACAGACCCAATGTTCCTTTATCTCCTGTGCATTTCCTTTTTGGAATGAACTAGACATTGAGACACTGATAGCTGTAGGAACTCAAAACAGCTGCAAAATTTTGTGAGAGGTGTGATTAGGAGGTTAGACGTTCCTCCCCCGCTCACTGCTTTCCCACTGCAACTATTTCTCTGAACCGTTTCTGTATCAGCTAAGGTTACTCAGACATGTATTTGTCACATCCCAGAAAAAGACAGTGATGAAATGAGGTTTAACAGTTCTCTAGAAAATGGAATTCCCAATCTGAAAAAAAATACCTTAGGAGTTTCCATCTGCAAGTCTTCTGCCAAACATTCAGCTAGTGTTGCGATAGTAATGTGAATAATTTTCTTGTGTTGCAAGAGAGCTGAAGGTAAACTGCTGAAGTCAGAGAGTAGAAGGGATGTCCATTCAACCCCTTGACTATAATGGTCCTATAATAAAATTACATGCTTTGTGTTGTTGCTTATGGCATCATGACTGGACAATAAACTGGGACTATCACTTCACAAGATTCAGTTATTCTATTTAAACTGATAACTGGCTAAATATTATATAATCTTAGTATTTACTTGCATCTTTCAGAAACAAGAATGGGAGCATTTGTTGTCACTGTTATGTGCTGTCCAGTCTTCTCCATCCATCCATTTATTATGCTTGTATACCTTGCCATAGTCCACTGGGCTCTCTGGCCACTTTACAAAATTTAAAAGAAATATAAAAACAACAAATAGCCATAATTAAGTAGACAATACACAATAGATGGTAAACTTATGGCAACCTTACGAATGAATGCCATCCAAAATAGCCTGTCCTTGAAAGCCCTGATCTGCTCTTGTAATTTCAAGGCTGTGGCTTCTTTCATGGAATTGAGCTTTCTCATGGTTGGTCTTCCTCTTCTCTCCCTGCCTCAACTTTCCCTACCATTATTCTCTTCTCCAGTGAGCTTTGCCTTCTCATGATGTGCCTTCTCATGAGATGATACAGCTTCAGTGTCGTCACTTTTGCCTCCCGCTGTCTCTTACCGGGCACCCGGTGTGTTGCCCTTGCCCGCACTGCTGCTTCCAGCAGGCAGACAGGCTGAGGCCCACCCAGCTGGCAGGGACGGAGCAGCTGGGAAGAGAGGCACCTTGAACCAGTGGCGTCACCTGCTTTCCCTCACGTGCAGCCGGCTTCCTCAGCCAAACTGAGCAGCACCTGAAGTGGGGCAGGGATGACAGGAAGCAAGGGGAAAGGGGGGAGAATAAAACCAAGACAGGGAGAGGGCAGAGAAAGAATGTGTAGGACAAACTGCAACCACGACAGTAAAGGAAAACCAAGCTGAATGGAAAGGCGGGCAGAAGAGGCAGCAAGGGAGGATGGGATTTGTGAGAGTCCAGGAAAAGGTATACACACTGTTGATTCTACAGGAAGGACAAGGAGTCAGGATACAGGCTGTTTAAGAGCCCGGTGTATGGAAAATATGCCTCTGTGAGGAAGAAAGCCTTAGCTAGGTTCCTTTATCAGCATCATCTGGGTTGAACTGCATAAGCAACTTCATAGTAGTGTTCCTGAGCGCAAGAAAAACAGGCATTGAACAGAGTTGTGTGTTAGATATGAAGCTACAAGAAAGAAAGCAATCAGCAGTCTTGGACTTATTACAGGCTATTCATTCAGAAGTTACTCAGGACAACGGCTGTTTCCCATGGAGAAGGTCCATTATGTGAGGCATGCAGCCAATCATGTTATTGTTTAAGGAGCATGAATCCCTTTTATGCGGAGTTTAGATGAACTTTAACATAGCTAAGAAAAGCTTCAATAAAGTCAATTCAAAGACTTTTATCTGAGGTCCCACTGATGGAAACAAAAGATGAAGGAGAGTTGAATGTTCCCCTTCCTCCAGACACACAGCAAGTTCTGCCTTGATTTGAACTAGGACTAACTTGATCATCTTTCTGTTGTTCCAGGGTATTTGCAAAGCTCTCCTCCAGCACCATCTTTCAAATAGATCAATTTTCTAAGTAGGAACATACATAGAGCGAAATCTTCAACTAATTAGGAAAGCAAGATCTGTGCTTGTTTTTGATCTGCTTATTCAGATGCTAATATTTTAAAGGCATGACCTGAGGTTGTTCACATAATTCTGCCATCTATTTTGTTTACTTACAGAGGGTAATCAACTTCCTGGACAGCTTAGTACTTGTTCCATAAACTATCCACAATATAAATATTTTCTCGATGACACATGTTCAATAAAATTAGCTGTTTAATGATGAATGCGTCCTAGAACAAGTGATTCATTACTTTCAAACATTGCGGTACTTCTGCTATGCAGGCCTTTCAGCAGGAGATCTCGCTGAACAGCCACAAAATCGAACAGATCATTGCCCAGGGTGAGCAGCTGATAGAAAAAAGTGAACCTCTGGATGCCGCTGTCATTGAGGAAGAGCTTGATGAGCTCCGAAGATACTGCCAGGAGGTCTTTGGCCGCGTGGAACGGTATCACAAAAAACTAATCCGCCTCCCAGTATGTACTTTTTTTTTTTAAGAAATACATTCAGACTTCATAATATTTAAACCAGATAACAGGCCCCATGTTGAAATTGTTCAAAAAACCCCACAGACTAAGTCTGTTAAGTTAAAGCTTCATGAAGTTATAAGCATGACATTGAAATTTGGGCAAATGGTGATAAACATTTTGTAAAAACATGTTTTTACTGGGGTTCTTGTTCAAGTGCCCATGATCCTAAGGCCCCAGACAGGCATAGTCATTTCTTGTAAATGTCCTTGTCAGTTTCATTATCTCCCTGTCCTGTTTTATTTAGCCCAGCAAAGTTCTGTTTTGTACTTGTCAAAGAACCTGCCATTTCAAAGAATTTATAAATTGTTACATCTTTCATGGAAAGTAGAAGGTGAAATTGACAAATTAATTAAGGATTGCAGATTAGGACTCTGCTGGGTTAATGAAAGTAGTGTGTGAACTGAGAAGGCAATTTGTAAGAGAAGAAGATGACTCTGTGGGGCAACATAACAGAAAGGTGGACTTACAATCCCGTGCACTTGTGCAAGAATACCAGATTTTTAAAATGATGACACCATTTATATAAATTTCAAGATGCCTTGACCCCCAATATTGTGTAAATTGTTGCCAGTAAAAAAAAACCTCAGACTCTACATAACGGTCATTCACAACAGATCAATTTGATGTAAAAAGCAGTAGGTAGGGAGGTGAAATGGAATGAAATCCATAAGACCAAACTTTAAAAAATCCATTAAGTGTTCACCCCACAAACAAAATTATCATAGATGTCAATTCAGCCATCATAAAAATTGACTCATGGAAGGAAATGGATGCCTTTTCGGCCATAGTCCCTGTATTCTCAGCTCCTTGTATTGATGAGTGTAGGGATTGGCCCCCCTTCCTCACATAATACAACCTTCAAAAGTTGCTGCCTCACATTCAGAATTAGAAGAGATGTGATCTCATTTGCTGCAGTGGATTTGGAATTATTTCCACAGCACCACTGGGACTATAAAGTCAGCACTATCTCTGTTTTATCACTGGTCCATAGCATATCAGTTTCATGGCCTGCCTTTTGAACTCACCACAGCTCTGACAGTTTTTACCAAATGTATGGGTATGGTCTGTACCCACCTTCACCTTCAAGGAAACCAACTATTACATTGTCTAGACCAGGGGTCAGCAACCCGCGGCTCCGGAGCCGCATGTGGCTCTTTCATCCCTCTGTTGCGGCTCCCTGTCGCTCAAAATATGCATCACAACCGCCAATGTGCGACACCCACCGGCACACGATTTATTGAGCTTTTCAACCCCCGGTAGGCCAACCATAGATAAATCCAAGAAAATAAAAGTTTCAGAAGAAAACAGAATGTTTAATGGTATGTGGGCAGATTCATTTTTCACTGCTGGCAAGACTGGTTTACCAGTCTGGTTTTTTTAAAGGTAAAAAACAATATATGCAGTGTTATCTTCATTTTAGATGTCAAAAGGGTTTTGTGGCTCCTGGTTTTTTCTTTTCTGCGAGAAATGGGTCCAAATGGCTCTTTGAATATTTAAGGTTGCCGACCCCTGGTCTAGACCACTGGCGTCTGGTTGCGCCTTCCAGACAAAAGCTCCAGTGGTCCCTTATCACTGCATCTGCTACAAAACCTAGCTTTGTTTGGAGTGCACCCTAGTCCCTACTTGGGGGCATCAGAACATGGGACCTGTTTTAGATGCTACACAGGGCCAAGCACCCTTCCCATGGAATTGGCATGCAACTTTAGCAGAAAAGTTGAGCAAGCCCTGTCAACTGTGGACTTTTTCCATGCAGCAGATCCTAAGTCTCACAGGAAAGGGGGATGAGTATTTATCCAAGAAACAAGTGGCAGTTTGTTTTGTTTACTTTTGCGCCATCATAAAAATATTTTGTACCTTCACAGTGCCAGGTATCTTATGTACATCAATTAACTCTGGAATGAGATTCATTCAGCAAAATGTGAAAAAGTCAAAGGGGGCTGAATAATTCTACAAGGCTTTATGGAACTGTAAGGAATAGACTTTTATAATTTATGAACAGGCCTATTGCAAAATAAATACATTTTTATCTAGACAGCCACTGTTCTTATAAATCTTCAGACTGTACATACAAAGGGAAAATACGAAGAAAGATCTGGAAATCAAACTAAAACAGACAAATGGGAAAATGTTGGATTTTGGAAGATGAAAGAAAAGCAACTAGCACTAGTCCAAATTAATACATTTTTATAGTTACTGTTGATCAGTTCCAAAATCCTGCAGTAATATTCCTGTTGTGTTGGAGATAGTATCTGTTGGCAGAAACCATTACCAGATAGGCAGCCACACAGGCAAGCATTAAGCCTTTTAGACATGGTTATATTTAGCTGTTTTTATTAATGCCATCTGGTTTTTAAAAAAAGTAATAAAATCTGTACTGAAGGGAGCAAAATAAGAATTCTGTAAGTTTGGATATTACACAATGACACTTTTATCATATTGACCCAGCAGGAAATCATGTGGTCCACTAAGCAGAGTGTTTCATTGTCCTTTAGCTCACAGATGATGAACATGACCTCTCTGATCGCGAAGGAGATCTAGATGAATCGGCGGATCTTTCCGACATACACTGGCACGACAAGTCTGCAGACGGTGTCCTCTCTCCACACCCTTCCTCCAACCTCTCACTGTCCCTTCCCCAGCCCCTGCGCAGTGAAAGGTCGGGACGAGACACACCTGCAAGTGTGGATTCCATCCCCTTGGAATGGGATCACGACTATGATCTGAGCCGTGACCTGGAGACAGCCGTTTCCAGAGCACTGCATTCTGAAGAGGAGGAAGAGGAAGAAGCTGGGCCAGAAGACAAGGAATTTTATCTTAGAGGAGCATCAAACCTAGCAGGTATCCTCCATCACTGATTTCTCATCCCTTCCCACAGTCCTTTAGGAAAGCTCTTAAGAAAGATGAATTATTTTCATCTTTCTGGGAATCTGGAGATAACTCACTTTTAGCAGCCAACTGATTAACATGAGGTTGCGGTTTTGATGGCCAGTTCTGGTTTGTTGTATTTTAGCGTATACTCATTGACTAGCAAAAAGGGGTCATTCAGTCAACTAACTGGGCATAGTAATCATAAGATGACAGAGAAGGCAAATTCGAAAAAACACTGGGCATGGCAATGGGGCTAGACATGGACCACAAAGGCAGGGTTACCCAGTGCCTGTTCCTATGACTCGTCATATGTTTGCCAGCCGTGCTTCCTAGTAGGCTCCCAGGCACTGGACCGGTAAAGGGAATGCGGCTGCTATGCCAACTGCAGTGTTTCAAGGCCTGACACCGACATGTGAGGGACAAGCCTGTGCTGTTTTGTTCAAATAGTAGTGCTGCATGCACGCCCTGCTTGACAGAGGACAGCACAGCTAAGGGTCAGTGTAGTCTGACTCATGGATGCTCAGTTCAGAACCTTTCAGGCTTGTTCCTAAACACAGACCAAGGATTTCAGTGAGGCTCCCTCTCAAGTATGCATAAGAGTCCAACCAAAATGTCATTTTGCATATACTTAAGAGAAAATATATCATGTATTTCGAAGGGACAAGCGCCACTAAATGCATATATTCATTTCTTCTCCATAGCGTGACACACTAGAACCTGCAGACAGCCTCTTGGCTGGGAAAAGCTGCCACATAAAACTTCCTTCTGTCTCTTTTTCAATTTGGGCTTCAGTGGCTACTGCCTCTTGCGCATACACTGAAAAAGAGGCTTATAGTCACATTCTATGCATGTTTTCTTGGATGTAAGTTCTGATATTTCCACGTGGATAGAATCAACTTACTCATTTACTTTTACTCTCTTTTGGAAGGGAAGGAGAAGAAACTGCTTCTGGGTACTGCTGTCTTCTCGTTTTCTCCCCCATTGTGGCTGTCACTGCAGTCACCTAAAGAGCAGTGCTGCTTATTTATTTTTATTTAGTTAGTTAGTTGTGATATTTATATGCCGTCCTATTGCAAAAGCCTCAGGACAGCTTACATGAATAAAATACAAATATCAATATACATAAATTATAACAAAATATCGACATAAAAATCAGCATAAACAAATCAACCCATTCTGGCTGCAGTTAAAAATATAATATTAAAAATACAATATTAACGCTTATTAAAATATTGATGAAATAAGGTCTTAACCTGGTGCTGAAAAACTTATAATGACGGCGCCAGGCAAACCTCTCTGGGGAGCACATTCCATAGATGGGGCGCCACCACAGAGAAGGCCCTCTTCTGGGTGCTCTGCCTCCTAATATCTTTCATGGAGGGTTCCCGGAGGAGGGCTTCTGCTGCCGGTCTCAGGGGGCGGGAGGGCAAATAGGGAAGAAGGCGTTACTTTAGGTATCCAGGTCCCAAGCCATTTAGGGCTTTATAGGTAATAACCAGTACCTTGAATTGAGCCTGGACTTCGATGGGAAGCCAGTGGAGCTGTTAGAGGACTTGGATTATATGAGAATAATGCCCAGAAATCCAACCAAGAAGTAACCAATGCATGTGTCACTGTTGCTAGGCAATCTTCCTCCAGGTAGGGACGCAGCTGATGGATTAGCCGAAGCTGAAGGAAAGCGCTCTTCGCCACCGCAATCACTTGAGCTTCCAATGACAGCTCTGGGTTGAGGAGCACACCCAAGCTGCAGACCCTGTCCTTTAGAGGGAGTGCAACCCCATCCAGGACAAGGCCCAAGTCACCTACCCAGGAGCTCGAATCACCCAGCAACAGGACCTCCGTCTTGTCTGGATTGAGTTTCAGTTTATCGGCCTTCATGCAGCCTATTACCTCGGCCAGGCACCAGTTCAGTACAGCCACTGCCTCACCTGGATTGGTTGAAAAAGAGAGGTAGAGCTGGGTGTCATCAGCATAATGATGATTCCGCAGCCCAAACTTCCTGATGACCTCTTCCAGCGGTTTCATGTAGATATTAAATAGCAAGGGGGACAAAATGGAACCCTGCAGTATTCCATGGCATAGCTGCCTTGGCGCAGAGCCAAAGTCCCCCAGCACCACCTTCTGGAATCGGCCATCAAGGTAGGAGCAGAACCACTGCCAAGCAGTGCCTCCTACTCCCAGTCCCGCCAGCCTATCTAGGAAGATACCATGGCCGATGGTATTGAAAGCCACTGAGAAGTCCAGGAGAAACAACAGGGATGCACTCCCCCTGTCTCTCTCCCTGCACAGGTCATCATACAGGGCGAACAAGGCAGATTCAGTACCGTACTCGGGTCTGAATCCGGACTGAAATGGATCCAGATAATCAGTTTCATCCAAGAGTGCTTGGAGTTGTCTACGCTCTAGACATCTCCCAACCCGCTTCATCGCCCATAATTCAGATGTGTACCATGGGGATGGATGGGCTCTGCCCGGCAGGAGAGGATGCTTAGGGGTGATCATGAAAACCAGGTGCATCATGTGACCATGTTCATGGGTTGGGCCTGTGACATGTTGAGATAGCCCCATGGCCATCATGGAGGCCAGGAAGTCCTGAGCTGCCCCAGTCAGAACAGTCTTGGCATGGAGATTGAAGTTCCCCAGGACCAACATCTGGGTGGCTCTCCTTGGCCTGTGGTGTCCTTAGGTATGGTTCCAACAGCATGTATGCACGGTACACCAGCAGAATCCCCAATCTGTCTCAGTCGCCCAGCACCAGGTATAAGCACTCTAGGTCTTGAGAGAACAGGAAGCCCCGTGAGAGAAATAGAAGCTTGGTAAATTAAAGCGACCCCCCCTCCCCTCCCCTCGGATGTGGCTGGTGCCAAACTAGATACCCAGGCGGGCACAGCTGAGACAGGGCTACATCCCCCCCTCTCCCACCCAGGTCTCTGTAATACAAGCCAGGTCGGCCCCCTCATCCACAATTAAGTCGTGGATGAGGGATGTCTAATTATGGACCAACCTGAAATTAAGCAGCAGCCCCGTCAGGCCCAAGGGGTGGTTGATAAGCTTACCCAGAGCCTTCCGGTTGGGGGAATAACCAGGAGGAAGAACAGGTGTCAACCATCTGTCCCTCCTTCTTCTATGCCGACATGTTAATCCCTCAATGCCATATTGACCCTTGCCCAACACCACCCCAATGGTGGCGCCCACGCGCTCCCCAGGCAATCCCACAAAAGCAGCAGCCAGAAGTGGAGTCACTAAAAACAAGTCCAATAAAATACAGTTTAAAACCCTCCCATCCACCCACTACAAAACACACACACACACACACACACACACACACTCACTCAAAGTTCCTGGCCCAGCCCCGCACGGCCCCAAACGGTCCCAAACGGTGATGACGCCCTCAGGCCGCCGTCCTTCGGCCCCCGGCAAGTTCATCCCGCGGCCCCTCCCTGCACCCCGCCCCCAATCCGGCACAGCTGCCACCCATGCCGGGGGGGAGGGGGCAAGGGCAGGGCCTGCGAAGAAACTCGCCAGTCGAGATGGAGGGCCTGCAGGCAAGCAGTGTCCCCGGTCCACTTTCGCTTCTTTGAAACAAAGCCACAACCATCAAGAACTTGACCAGGGCATGTGTCTGCCCGGGCATCAGTGGCTTCCTTTCCTTTTAACTCCTGGAGAAAGTGTACAAGCATGAATATGCCTGAAATAGGCCAAACTGTCATCCCTTCGCTGAAATACCCATGTCTGGTCTCTTATCACATTGCCATGCCTTTGGATTTCTTCTTAGCGAGCAGCTCCCTGGGGACAGATACAGTAGGGTTTCCCCTTGCTCTCCTACTTGCAGCTCCCTCGTACCCCCTCAGATCTGCTCTGGAAGAATCCCAGAATTCCTGGAGCAGAGTTTAGGGAGCACAGGGACTTCAGTAGGAAGTGGAATCCATTTTGCCAGCAGTTGGTATCCCATAGACTATCACTGGGATTTTATTGAGCTAACTTATAATAGATCCATTGAAATCAATAATCAATTATCATTATATATTTAATTCCAGTGAGCCTGTTCTACATATGATTAGGTCTGGATTCAGCCTGTTGTCTGCCTGATTCATCCGGGGCCTTGACGTCCTGTCTTGTGACAATGTGATTAATTTAAGAACTGCAATCTAAAAGAAAAGTGAAATAGAGAAGAACTGAAGGTTTATTCCCTTCCTGGGAAATTAAGTGTCTCACAGGGTTGAGCATGACATAATTCCTGCTAAGCAATCAACTTGGATTGTGTTTTAATTTTACAGATGTAGTGATTCCTGAGAGCCCAGAAGCCTATGTAAAACTTACAGAAAATGCTCTTAGAAATATCTATGGTATGCATTAAAAAGCTTAAAGTTTGCCAGAGCCTAACACACCTACCACAATATTCTCCTAGCAGATCCACCAACTTACTCACTATTTAACCCAGTCACTTTTCTTCTCACAACAGCACTAGCATGTTGGTAGAGAACATTGCTCATGTTTGAAGCACATTTTAAAACACTGTTTCTTCTATGGATTCACGGTTTGCAGATTAAGAAGGGGAGTAGTGTTCTTCCTAACGTAATAGGATTACCATTACCCTTGCCTAGCATAGGAGTTGAGTGGAAGAGATTACATCAGTGTCTTGTGTTGCCCTTCTGAGGAAATACATCTTCACAGCTCTTAGAATCTCAGCATTTTGAGGGAGTGAAAAGGTGCTTGGGCCAATTCCCCACTCAGGTCAGAGCCAGCTATCTTAAACCTCCCTCATAAATTTATCGTGCAGTGTCACAAACACAGATGGGATAACAAGATTTCAAAGCAGGATAATGTCAGTTCAATTTATACTCTATGTTATCTGATCCTTTGAATGATCCCAACAGTATACATTTTGGGTAACATCCAGTGTTCTATAAGGCGACCTCTGCTTGCTTGACTAGATTTCCTCTTCTCTCTACCACACAATGAATGTCGAGTATTCCCCAACCAAAAATTACTTTAATGGACAGTGTCTTTAGATTCTTTTTTGTAGCAAATTATTACTTTTGTGGTAATGTTGCTGCTTTGCAGTTTTAGCTCCCTGCTAAAAACAAAAAACAAAACAAAACCATGAGACATTAACTTGCTTCCATATATCCATAGATTATACCATTATGTCTTCTCTGAATTCTAGAAAATAAGAAATACTTGCAGGGAAGCTTGGTTCTTGGAACATTATAATTCTTGATGTATGAAAAAGAAACAGAAACAGAGCTGATCAGAAGGAGCCTCCTGGGCCATCTAGTCTGACACCCGGCTCCAGCCAGCTCCACTCATGACATGCCTACCATGTGCATGTCCAGCCTATCCTTGAACACCCTCACCAGTGGGGCTTCAACCACCTCCCGTGAAGCCCAGTCCATACCCATAAGAAATAGTGTGGTTGCTTTGTATTTACATTGCAATTTGCACAGAGGAATACTATATATTTTGGCTCAGAAGTCAGCCTGTTTGAGTCCAAGGGGTGTTTACAATTGCAATCTGAAACTGTCCAATCAGAAAACATGAAGCCTTTAAGAAGGGGAACTGTGTAGCAATTTCTAAACTTTTGCCAATTGCCCAGGCAGAAGACCACAAATATGGCAAAGATACCAATGGATGTAATAGTTGTAAGCCGCCTCGAGGCTTCGGCGAATGGGGCGGCATAAAAATATTTTAATAAATAAATAAATAGTACATACAAAGGAACTGGTCTTCTGAGAAATGAATTATCTTAATGATCAGTATATATTCTTCTTGTTCCCAAAGAATTGCTGGTGCACTTGCTAATTAGTTCCAAATTTTATTGCCACAGACTTGCTACTGCCATCAACATTTTTCATGCTTTCTAACCAAATTAACACCACCTTCCATTTTATTTATTTTTCAAGTCTGAGACCTTTCAGTGGGCTGGGTTGGGTTGCACTGAGTTGACAGCCTCCGTCCTTTCCCACTTGCTGCAGGAGAACCAAGTTCCTTGGAAACACACATTCGCCAGCTTGACAAGGCTTTAGACACCAGTCGTTTCCAGATACAGCAAACGGAGAACATTATTCGCAGTAAAACCCCAACAGGGCCTGAACTGGATTCCAGCTACAAAGGATATGTAAGTACTGTGAGCACTGCCACCTACTGTATATAGAATGACAATTCTTGTGTTACAGACTCAGAGTAGCAAAGACAATATAAAATCTTGTAGTACTGACAAATGTATGGTCTACAGGCTACAGCCCACTTTGTCAACTGCAGTTCTTATGTGTAGATAATGCAGCAAGCGCTATATTTCAGCATTCAGAAACCCACTGGAAAAAGGGATAGCCATGCTGGTCCTTGAGGAAAAAAGCAGGATGTGAGGGGATGTTTCAGCCGAGGAAAGAAACAAATCTCCATTACCATTTAGAAATGGGGTTCAGACATGGCTTCTTTGTACCAGAACGCTTGCTGGAATCTGCATGTACAACACCTACTAGTGATGGATTCAATCTGCCTGCAGTCTCAAGGCTAAGTCATAACTTGCAGATCTCATAGCCACAATACCTGGCCTAATCTTCACTTGTTTGGTCTTCCTTCTTGCCCCTCTCTTCTTCATACACTGCCAAGCCACATGAAAAGTTCTGGAGAATTCAAAAGTTTGCATACTCTTTTGTAGCATTTGGTTTGTCCAAATAAAGTTTTGACTTGGAGACCTATTAAGATGTTCCACCCTTGGGCACTCTCCAGATGTGAAGTCTGGACATGATGACAACTAGTGCAATTCACCCTGCAAGTGCCTGCAAGACCAGGAGGGATCTGAGCCTACAGGATCGTGCATTGCAGCTAGAAGCACTGGAAGGCTCTGTGCTGCTCAGCTTTGCCACAGCAACATGGGCCGCTGTGGTGGCTGCCTCACATTCCTGATCCTGCCTTCAGTCTTGCCATGCCCTCAGTTATGCCTTGACTCCTGCATGCTCCTAACTTTGCTCTTGCCCCCAGTCTGACTCTGCCTGTCCAGGTATAAGAGCTTTGCCTTCACCTCTGGGCCTGCCACCCCTGGTCTGTACCTGATCCTTGCCTGTTCCTGGCTCTCCCTTCACCTCTTCTGCTAAGACCTCCATCCACCTCTGCCATCCCTCTTCCTGGTGCCCCAGCTGTAGACATCAGCTGCTTATGTCCTGGACCTGCCTGAATCTTGCCCCCAAGGAATTTCTGGATAGGAATTTTCCAGTAGCCAGAGCTAGCAATTCTGATGAGGTCTTTGTTGGACCATGGCAAGGCTCAGTGGACCATTCATGCAGTCACTCCAGCTAGAGCACAAGCAGCTCAAGAACTGAAGGTGGTGACTATATGGATTAGGCCTTCTTCTTTCAAAATATAGAATTCTAAGCCAGGAAGCTCAGTTTCTGAGCTAGAAGAAGAGGAGGAGAATCGTGTAACTTGGTGTCCTGCAACAGCAGGGGGTTGGACCCGCTGGCCTTCATGGCCCCTTCCAACTCTACTATTCTATGATTCTAGAAGAGGTTGGAATATGTTGCTTAAATGCCAAGGTTAATGAGTAGTTTAAGCCAAGTGGCCAGTGAAAACCAGCTGCCTCTGGTTGGGAGGGAAACACTGAAGATCAAGGAGGGTTAGAGGGAAGGGCTGTGAGATCAATTAGCTGAACCAGTAAACCCACCTGAGCAAGCAGCGCCAGCTATCCCTGTCCCAGAATTGCACAGAGAATATCCTGTGGGGCATCTGGAGAAGTTTAAGGGAGAAAAAGTACATTTTCCAACGTTTCAAGCTCAAATACAACTCTGCAAGCCACTCAGACCAGATTTTTCCAATTAAATCCAGGTTGGTTTTGTAATTAAGCCTAAAGACTGGGAAATAGACGACATTTTATTCAGTAAGCCTCTGTTCATCCAGTTGGCCAGTACCCCTTCATCTTCAGCAAGGCCAGAGCACTGTGGCCCAGGACAGCACCCATTTCAAGCTACTGATGGCAGGATTTGCAATGGAATGAGGCTGCTAACATCGCACAAGACTTAACAGCTTGGAATGAAGATAGCTTGGGTGAACTGGCATGGGTGGAATAGCCCCAAGCTTTGGCCCTTTTGATTAGCCTTTTGCAAACAGACAACAGGCTCAAGGCACAAAGATAAGCTCATACAACACTGTTGCAAAACAGTCCTTACCCTCTCTCCTAATTACCCATCCTTGGATCCACAACCTATACAAATTGGCACAGTTAGACTTAGTTTGTCTAAAGCAGATCATGAGCACCATTGGGCTGTGGGATTGTGCTACCACTGTGGACAGAAGGCAGGGCTGTCTTAACGCATGCGCCTGATGGGCACTTGCCCATGGGCCCCATACTAATCTGTGTATGTTAACACTTCAATGCACCTTGTATCATATATGATACATACCGATCATAGGGGCCCTAGTACATTGCTTTGCCCGGGGCCCATAATGCTGTTAAGACGGCCCTGTCAGAAGGTACACTTGGCAGGAGCATTCTTGCATGCCAGACCCATCTCCAAGTTGGTGGAAAACTCCAGCTCCCAATCTGAGAAGGTTCAAGCCACCAGAGAGCAGTAATGATCACAAATCCCATCCTGCTCATACATGCTGTTGGAACCATACCTAAGGACACCACAGGCCAAGGAGAGCCACCCAGGCTTTAGTGGACTCAGAGGCCACAACAAATGTCAGGGACATTAATTTTGCTAAACAGAACCACCTTGTGACTCTCCCCTTAAGTCATCCCTTTAATATGGACACAGCTGACAGGAGGCCTTTGCAGGGCGGACCTGTTAAACATATTTCAGCTTCCCTTACAGTAACCATTCCACAGCATGCAGAACAAATGCAGTTCTATCTGACGAAGGTGCTGCAGTACCAGCCAAGTTCAGCCTCCACGATTCCTGGGGAGTTCCAGCTGTACTGGTCTCTTCTAAATTTTCTGCCAAAGTTTCTGCCTTCCAGCCAACACTCTATTGGCACAAACTGTCACCTTTCAGAACTCTTCTACAAATGATGATAGACAAACACCTTCTCCAGTCACCCTCACTGCAAAGTACCAAGAATTTCATGTTGTTTTATAGCATGACCCAAAGGAGGCAGTCTGCCTTGGCCACAACTGAGAAGCAGGTACTCCAGATCCAGAAGGATCTGGACAGACAATGGAAGTGGTCAGGGGACAACAGGATGGCGTTCAGTGTGGATAATGGCAAGTTCTTGCACTTGGGGCATAGGAATGGGCATCATAAGTACAGGTTAGGGGACAAGTGGCTGGACAGCAGCATTGTGAAAGGGATCTCCAGGTACTAGACTGCAGGCTAAACATGAGTCAGCAGTGTGACGCAGCGGTCAAGAAGGCAAATGCCACCCTTGGTTGCATGGCTTCTACATCAAGAGAGGTATTACTGCCACTGTATACTGCTCTGCTGCGCCCACAGCTGGAGTATTTTGTTCAGTTCCAGGCTCTACATTACAGAAAGGATATAGCCAGGTTGGAATCAGTGTAGCGTAGGACCACAAGAATGGTGGCCAGATTGCAGGGGAAGACATATGAGGCAAGACTGAGGTAACTGGGTCTTTTCAGCCTGGAGAAGTAGAGACTCCAAGGGGATCTGTTGGTAACACATAGGCACATGAGGGGGTATCATGCAGAGGTGGGTAGAGACCTGTTCTCCCCTGCAGAAGTGCTGTTTTGGTGCCAGTGGATTGAATCACATAGATGGGGAAAGCGGGATCATGAGTCACAACAGCAGCTCAGACTGCCCATTGCTCGCTACACCTGGTGTGCCAGTTGTGCTGTTCCTCCGTGTGGCTTGCCTAACTACTATGCTCCGTGTTCTGGTAACTTCACGATTAGACTTCTGTAGCACTCTCTGTGGGACTGCCTTTGCACTTGATCTGGAAGCTGCAGCGAGTGGAAGGCAACAGCTAGAATACTTGATGGCGCATGTGGCTATGCACAAAATGCATCTCCAATAAAATAGCTGCACTGGCTACCTGCTAGCTGCCGCCCATGTTCAAGGGTTCACTGTTGACCCAGAAAACTCTTTACAACTCAGGGCCATGATACTTAGCTGAATGTGTTCTCTTATAGATACCCAGTTGACCCCTGAGATCTTCTGTGGAGACCATACTGGTCAATCCATGGCCAACAATATGCCGCCAAGGAGCAGTGCGTAAGCAAGCCTTCTCAGTGGTGGCACCCACCATTTGAAATACTCTCCCCAGTGTAGTTCAAGAGAAAGATACAGTGGGAATCTTTCCATGCCACTGAAAACACACCTATCCACACAGACTTACCCTGACCTGTGTGGGGCTCTGTTACCACCCAGTCATTATTATGACAATATTGTAATTATTAATATACTAAGCAGTAAAGAAGTATTTTAATCAGTATGTCAGTAAGTAAATATTGCCCAAAAGTGGATACCCATTTGATGTCCCTGTACAAGTCACTGTGTTCATGTAACCAGCCTTATCTCTGAGCTTTCGAAAAAACATCAATTTCTGGCATCAGATTTTACAGCCTTTGAGAACATATTTCTTAATTAGATTAATTAAATTTGCTTGGGCATGTCAGCATATCTTCATGCATCTGATTGCAATCTTTAATAACTGTGGGATAATATCTGTAGAGTCTTGTATGTTATGAGTGTGTGTGTGTGTGAGAGAGAGAGAGAGAGAGAGAGAGAGAGAAATAACACATGTGTTGTTGGTATTTGTTAATCACTTGTAAGTAAGTGGTTTCCAGGAGGCAAATAATTAAAAACATGCTATACTAAGTAGGAAAAAAGATGAAAGGAAAGGAGTTTGGAAAAGTAAATATGAAAGAGATGTGTCTTAAGAATGGTTGAACAAGAAGGAATGCTAATTGTCGGGGAAGAATATGCCAGTAGTGGGGTACCATGTTGGAGAACCTATTATCTGGAGAGTTACTCAGTTTCAGTTATGAGAGATAGAAGGAGAGGAGAGGCAAGGCTCTCTGGATGTTACGTTCAACCCCTGGGACCTTCCTCCATGTGCCAACTCTTAAGGAAAGCACACAGGGTGGCACAGGGGAGAGGGCTTGGTGCCCCCCCCCCATTTATGGAACAACAGCCCACTGAGGCCCAGCTGGCACCATATTTATCATCTTTTTGGCACCAAGCTTTTTATGCAGAGGCTTTTAAAGACTTACCTGGATGTACAAGACTGGGAGTTGTCTATCACATGTGTTTTACTGCATCTTTCTTTGTTATTGTTTGGTTTTAGCTGTTTTAAACTTGTTTTTCTATTTTTTTTTTTTTTGTATTATCTGTTTTATGGACTGTTGTAAACCACCTGGACAGCTTCAACTGTAGGGCAGTCTAGAAATGAAATTAATAATAATAGTAACATACAAATAAAAACTACCTTTTTGTTTTAATATGAGATATAGTGAACTGTGATCCAGGCATGTGGAGAAGGATACAATTTTAGTTATGCAAGAAGCTTATAGCAAACACTTTTTAACTAACCTGTAAAAGGTTCTGTTGTTCAAAAAGAAGTCTATTCTTCAAAGAAAAAAAAACTGTAAAAATTGTTAATTGGCTCCAACATTAACCAAGATCCCTGCTGTTTGTTTTAAAAGCTAGCTGATGTTTCCATTTGAGTTACTTTATTCTCATATTCTGAATATGCTTCTTATTATAATGGAAAATCTTACAACAGAAGCAACATTTCATTAATCTGGAAGTACACTCTTCTGTGTAATTACCATTAAAAACTTGGAGTTAGGCATAGAAAATCTGCATATAATTAGGACAAAATACTTCTTTATACCTCATCATAGTGGACTTATTCTTAAAAAATATTGTGGTAAATGCTTTACAGTCAAAATCTTAGATCTCTGTGTGTGTGTGTGTGTGTGTGTGTGTGTGATCAAGATTAATGAGAAATTGTTTTGTTTGCATGCTTTTCTCTGAAACAGATGAAGCTTCTGGGTGAGTGCAGTGGCAGTATAGATTCAGTGAGAAGGCTAGAGCGCAAACTCAAAGAAGAAGAGGAAAAACTATCTGGATTTATTAACCTGAACAGCACAGAGACACAAACCGCTGGTAAGCAATATTCATATCTACTGCAGGAAATACGAGATGAGCAAGTGCTAATGATACGCAGCACTGGATTAAGGAAGCAGAGAGCACTGCGAGTCTATGTAGAGGATGTCTCTTTCCTGGATTCCTTACAGTCCATTTTTAGACCTTCACTGGAACTGGACTTGTGGCCTTGTTTGGTCGTCTTTCCTAAAAACCAGAAAGGAGATCCCACAGTCAGTTGTGCTAGATCTTTTGCTAACTGTTGATCACAAGCCACATTTAATCTCTGGCACATCTGGATGACAGAATTTCCTGGAACACTTAGGTGTTGCCAAATCTGTTCTTAAGCCAACTACACAGTATCCGTGGAAGTTAAGATGCTCTGCTCCCTGAGAAAAAAATGTTCTGTGAGCATGTGTTAATGCTTTCTTAAAGTTCTTATGCTGGGACTTCAGGAGGATCCAGTTGTGCCACTTTCCTATTTAATGCATTTTCTAAAACTGTTTTAAGATTTGGAGGCATCCGTATTGTCTCAACGTTTCCCTTAACCAGATATTTTCCATACAGTGCTTAAGGGTGCAGTATTCTCACACTTCCTGTGAGAAATGTCTAGTTTCTACTGTTACTTAGATAAAAATAGCCTGGAGTACATAATGTAGATATATATCTTTTTCGATAAAGACAAATAATGGGTTGAGCATTTGTGATGTTACGATGATGGAGCACCGTGCTGAAACTGGTGCTGCGCAAAGCTTCCAGCCCTCCTGGCTAGGAAATCTTGGAAGAAAAACGTAGCAGCCATCAAGATAGCATTAGAGATGGCAGTAGCAAAACGTTAAGCCAACGGGGAATGGTTTCAAGAAATTCAACCTATCCTAGAGACCAAACTTGAGAGAGCATTTCTTTTAAAAAGTATTCAACCATAATTGGAAGGACTTGGGGGGGGGGGGGGGGATACAATGTACCTTTGTAAATATTGCTTCCCCTGATGGTGTATGCTCCTGTTATGGCTGGGATCCAGCAATGGCACATATTGGCGGATCAGCATAATCGGAATTAAGACACAGTCACATTTGGTAAGTCAGGCCTAGGCAGGTAAGAGTTACTTCCATGGAACTTACACAGAATAAGATAGGTCAAGGCAGATGCAACACCATTTGGCTTAGGCAAGGCTTTGGTCAGAATACTCTGAGAAAGCTGACTGGAGTATCCTCCAGTAGTTATAGAAAAGAAAGTGTTGCTTCAACAAGGTCCATCAGTCTTCTCTTATATATCAGGGTGTAACTTCAGGAAGTATCATTGAATTGAGACGAAACAAGTTCAGGTATCCGCAGTCAAAAAGAATTGAAGTTGTTCTTATCAGCATTAACATGTTCTGGATTTTTTAAATGTTATGAGGAAAAGGGCAAATAAGAATTTGAACAACAAGTGATCATGATAAAAATGGCATGGGATGTTGGGAGAGTCAAGCAGAATGTTAGGAACTTGCTTTTACAAAAAAGAAACCTTCTTTCCGCAGGTGTAATTGATCGTTGGGAGTTAATCCAAGCCCAGGCTTTAAGCAAAGAACTGAGGATGAAGCAGAATCTTCAGCAGTGGCAGCAATTCAGTTCTGATCTAAACAATGTCTGGGTCTGGCTGGGAGAAACTGAAGGGGAGTTGGAGCAACTGTGCTGCCTTGATCTCAGCACAGACATACAAACCATTGAGCTCCGGATTAAAAAACTGAAAGTAGGTTCTCATTCTTGATATTCTCTTTTTATCATGTTCCTAACACTTTACTTTTGTGAGGGGAGATTTCATTCAAAAAGGCACTGCCAGTTTGTACACGCATGGCTTCTACGTATCCTACAGGACTGAGAAAAAGGATGATGGTGCTTGATTCAGTTGCTGCTTGAAGTCAGTCAGTGTATACACTTGAAACTGCATCTACAGGCAGGATGTAAGGTGATTTACTAGAAGTAAAAGGACGTTGCTGTTGCGTGACAAGCTAGGGGGAAGGTTTTATTTATTTTTTTTATTTATTTATTTATTTATTTATTTATTATTAAAACATTTTTATGCCGCCCCAGTCGCCGAAGCCTCGGGGCGGCTTACAACAATAAATTAAAATAATTATAATCTTAAATTAAAAAATATAAGCATTAGATTAAAAATACAAAAATACAATATAAAATAAGCCACCCTGGCCAGATAAAATCCAATAATATTAACAGTTACAATGCCGCTTAAATAAATTTATATCCTGCCTTTTTCCTACAAAGGGCTCAAGGCAGCTTACATCATTCTCCTCCTCCATCTTATCCCCACAACAACAACCCTGTGAGGTAGGTTGGGCTGAGCGTCTGTGACTGGCCCAAAGTCACCCAGTTGGCTCCATGGCCGAGTGGAGACTAGAACCCAGATTGCCTGAGTCCCGGTCCCATGCTCTTAACCACTGCACCACACTGGCTCTCACAGGGTGACCAGATGCTCTTGCCAGAGGCATTGCAGGGCGGCAGTGGAGATGTAAAGCCACTAGCTTAGCCAAATTCAGGAAAGCTTGAGTGTAGTGCTAGTGTTCTAATATAGAATATGGCTCATAGTGAGCCTTGGGTAATCGGTTTCCCCCACGCCTTTGTCTGATAGCTAAAGAGAATTCATCTCCTGACATGTCATTTAGGATACTTCCTTGGAATGGTCCACGTGTGCATGTGTGTGTTTTCTATCTTTATGGGCTACTCTTTAGCAAAGCTCTCAGGGCAGCTTTCACTGAGGAATTGAAACCAGTTAAAATTCAGTGACAACAGACCGTATAATACAGTGCATAACAAAGATAGAGCAACTTCAAAATACAACAGAGGTGCAGTGCAGTCATATGCATGTGTATTCATCAGAACTAAGCCAAACTGAGCTCAATGGGACTTACTCCCGGGTTCAAGTGTATAGGATAGCAACCTAAAGGCACAGAAAGATAAAAATGGTGCAAGAAAACAGATGCCACCAGGAGTCTCTTCCACGCATTTTTTTTTCTTTTCTGTACATTTCAGTGGGACTTAGAAGGATATATAGTGAGGTAATACAAATTTTCCCAAAGCAATAGGACATCACAATAGTACGATAATTAAAAGGTATAAAGCAGAAATAATACAGATTATAAGGCAATGTAATAACACCAATAAACACCTGTTGCTTCCTGTAGCTTCAGTGCCTGTAGGCTTAAAATTCTTGAAAACTTTGTTAGTTACCATTGCGAACACTAAATCTGAAACATTAAAAATAGACTTAATACTCAACTAGGAGATGTATCACTGAAATACAGTGGTATTATGTAACACTTCCCAAATCAGAGCTTTCTTTAAATGATATGTTAAGAAAGGTGCTGGAATGTGTTTCTTTTTCTATTCCAATATAAAAGCACCTATCTTCCCGTTCATTTTCAGGAGTTACAGAAGGCAGTGGATAACCGCAAGGCCATCATTCTGTCCATCAACCTTTGCAGCTCAGAATTCATGCAGTCTGACAGTGAGGAAAGCAAGGACCTGCAGGAACGGCTGTCTCAGATGAACATGCGTTGGGACCATGTCTGCACCATGCTAGATGAATGGCGCTCCTCACTACAGAATGCACTAATGCAGTGTCAGGTCTGTTCTGCTCCATGCAAAAAGCTGTTCCCTTGGGCTCCAGGGACAATTTGTAGTACTGGTTACATTCATTTTCTTAAATCTATCCTCAATCAATGTGTGCATGTCTTATATGAGGAGCATGAGGAGCCTTAACTAGATTAGACAATAGTCTTAGGCATGTACTCTGTGAAGCAAACCCCTTTTCCATCTTAGAAGGCAACATTCTATAAGATTTCAATGTATTTGATGAAATCTATTACACTTTTCTTAATTTTCCCACTATGTCTATGATTTGGACTTGCCACTAAACCTTGCTTTTGAATTCTGTCTTGCCTGACATTCTGTTGGCCTGTTCCCAGTGCCTCTGTTGCTCTTGTCTTGTCTCATGCCCTGGTCCTGGACTCTGTGGGCACTGACAAGAAAATGGCCACTTGTAGCTGCTGTCTCTGAGAAAAGAGCAGAGACCTGAAGAAGGAGGGGAGAGACATGGCAGGTGGGTGGTGGTAGAAGCTGTGGGGGACATTTGGCTTGGTGACATTCTGGGAAGAGTAAGGGCTGAATAGAGATCCTTTGGCAGCTGGCGTCTGAGGGGATCAGAGAATAGGGGAAGGAAATTGAAGTAGCTCAGAGGAGCCCGCCCCTCACGTCCTCATCCCACATGAGTTCCACTGAGCCAAGACTGAGAGAAACTCCCATTTCTTCAACAATTGCATTTGGGTATTGTGTCACAGCAGCAACGAACCCATTTTGCAAAAATACCACCATGGCAATGCCTCACGTGCAAAAGGTGTGCTGTGTAGAGTAGATCTTGCCCAAACAATGACTAGAGTATCAAAAACACGCTGATGTGTCTCCTCCCTACCCTCTGTTATCCTCCTCCTTTTCACACTCCCATTTAATAGAACATGTGACGGTTTGTCATGGCATCCAAACTGGAGCAATCCCTGCAAAACAGGAGTGCAAATCAGAGTTTGATCCAAGGATGAATGCCACTTTCTTCAGCAGCTGCAGCACTGTTACAAAGTACAAAAGTTCTGTGATGTAGTTACAACAAACAGAATGGTTTTTTGTATTGCATTTTGGTTTTAAAGGCCTACCTGTTGCTTATAGGATTTCCATGAGATGAGCCACGGTTTGCTGCTGTGGCTGGAAAACATTGACCGGAGGAAAAATGAGATTGTCCCGATTAATCCGAATCTGGATTCTGATACCCTACAGGATCATCACAGGCTGCTAATGGTAAAGTACCATTTCCTTATTAAACACATGAGCAGATTGCCTCGGAGAACTGCAATGGAAAGTGAAATGAAAATGAGCCTCTGGAATTTGTTGTGTGCTTGTTCTTTTAGTATCGGCTGCAAACTAATTTAAGGGAATGTCCTCCTTTATTGTTACAGAAAGCCATCTGTCTGATTTTAAAAAAAGCATCATAGTTATGGGATCCTTTTAAGACTTAAGTAATTACATCGTCATATAAGAAGCAAAAATTCTAAAATATGCTCCTGAACTGCCAAGCATTAATAAACCCTTGCCATCTGGCCATTTGTTTTTCTTTACAACTGCTTCGTATATATAGTGATGGAGTTTCACTGGGTACCTTTCTTATTTGTTTATTTGATTTATAAAACCGCTGACAATGATCCCTTATTAGTCAAATCAGTTAGAGCAATGCTTCTCACAAGCTGAATTGTTCTGGGCTTCTTACACATTGCTTAAAGACTGCCTTCCTAACAGCAAATCCGACGTGAGCTGCTAGAATCTCAGCTGAAAGTGGCATCTCTTCAAGACATGTCTTGCCAACTGCTAGTCAATGCTGAAGGCAAGGATTGTCTGGAAGCCAAAGAGAAGGTCCATGTCATTGGAAACAGGCTCAAAATGCTCCTAAAAGAGGTCACACATCATATGAAGGAGCTAGAGAAAATCCTAGATATTTCAAGCAGTCAGCTGGTAAGCCATTCTGTTATATCCTCATCCCAGCAATGTATGATGCCCCATTTTGTGTTCATGATAGGAAAAAAAAAACCTTTGCTTTAGGGTAGGTAGGTAATTTCCATCTCAAATTTGCAAACATTGTAAGTATCTATCGCTTCTCTTCTACAATCTGCACTTGTTTTTTGCAAAGTATTTCGTATTTGCAGTGTAGCCATGATATTTCTAGCCTGTATCTGATAGATGAAGAAAAATGCTATACACCTGTCTCAGTTCTCAAAAGGTGGATCAAAAACTACGTTGTGTATAGACCCTCTCCTGTTGTTTCTCCTAACTGTAAAATAGTACAGCAGACAGTGTGGTGAGTTTTCAATATGTCTAATACATATTTCTGTGCAAAAATAATATCTACAATTCAAGTAGGTTTTTTATTGAGCTCAACACCTCTTATCTTTTAAGAAACTAATAAAGAGTAGCTGTTTTCATGGTCTTGACTGGGCTGGTAATAATACTTCCTTGTCCAAAGCAAGGCAGAAAATCTGTATGCATGTTTTCACAAGCTGTGTTTCATAACTTGTAGTGACTTTGCCCAGAATGGCATGCAGTTGGCTTGCAGTTTTATAGTTCTGTGCTTTTTCTAATCTCACTTGATTCTGAACCAGGGATGTGGGATAAGATGTCACCTATATGTGGATAGCACCCACTCTACCTGTCCTGTTCATCTAACACAGGTGAGGCAGTTGGTGTTCTAAACCAGTGCTTGGGCAGAGTTATAGACTAGATGAGGACCAATACACTGCAACGTAATCCTGCCAAGATGGAGCTACTATCTGTAGATGGTTTTTCTGTCCAACTGTGTAGTATTTGTTCTGTTCGAGTGGAGGTTGCACTCTGCTAAATATCAGGTGCACAGTTGGGATGTGCTCTTGAATTCACCATTCTTACTATAGTAGGGCCACCTGTACAGACCTTGTGATTTGCCAGATCCTTAGCTTACAACTCCCATCATTCCTCAGTGGCTGGGGCTGATGGGATTTGTAGGTCCAAACAGCTTAAGGGCCACAAATTGCCCAACCCTGCACTCAAAGCACAAATGTCTTTCATGATACAGAAGCACCTTTTATCAGCTTAAGCTAATACAGCAGTTACGGTCCTACCTGAACGGCCCAGCAACAATTTTGCAGGCTCTGGCATCCTGTCTGGTGTTTGATCGAATGCAGTGGGCTACCTGTGACACCTCTGAAGACAAACCCAAGGCTCCCATCTAGTCCAATAGCATATGGGCCCTGGCCAATTGGATCACATAACACCACCGTTTCGTGATTTCTACTTGTGTACAATCCATTTATGGGCCAGTTCAGAGAGAGAGTTCAGAATTTAAAGTCCCAGACTATTTGAAGCCAGGACTATTTCCCATACTTACCTGCCTCAACCACAGGCAGTCATTTGAAGAAGCACACCAAGTCAAGCAGGTGACTACAAGAGAGAGGGAGTTGCATGAAATTTTCTCAATACATTCTATGTATATTGTGCATTTTCCATTAGTATTACGAGTAGCCTTATCAGTTATTAAGTTTACATAATGGATTATATTATATTCCCAGAGAGGCTCACCTGGACCTCCAGCATGATTTTTTTGGTGCCAGGAAAAGGAGCTTTTTCTTCCCCAGGCATTTTAGGAACGGTTTTTAGTGCTTGTAGTCATTTGTACTGTTTTTTCTCAGCTGTTTGGTTTAACTCTGGTTTTATTGTCTGCTGCTGGTGGTTTTATCGTGTGTTTATCTGATTTGCTTTGTTATTTTTATTGTTACCATGAACTTTATGGTTTTAATTTGTACACTGTCCAGAGAACTTTAGTTACTGGATGCTTAAAATGTAATATAATCTTAACAATGCTAACCACCTTAGGACCTGTCCTCCTGGTCATCGGCTGATGAGCTGGACACTTCAGGATCCCTCAGCCCTGTATCCGGCAGGAGTACTCCAAGCAGACAGAGAACGGTAATGTCATACCAGACACCTTCTGTCCGCAATTGGGTGGAAGCGCCAGATAGCTGTAGCTGGGTGGAAGGTCCACACCATCCCCTCTTCACAGGCAAAAAAGGGCACCAACCCAGGAGAATTTTCCCTTCCACAAAACGCTGCTTCTCTAAAACTTCCACATCTCCTTCCCTGCATGAAATCAGAATTATAATATGCTATATATAGATTAATCCAGGACTCAAACTGTGGTAGGTGTATCATAATACAATATACTGTCTCCCTTGTATTGTGTTCTTGGGATGCTGTTTGTTCTTTTGTATTGCATTGCGTTCTGTAGTTTTTGTAACACGCCCACATCTGCTTGGGTAGATTACAAATTTAGGGCAGAATCTAATTCAGCAGTCCTGGTAATGTAAATTAACTTGTGCCAGGTTGAGGTGCCTTTGGGGTAACACCAGTAGCCAGATGAAGTGATGCTTTTTCCAGGGGAACCTCCTGTGGAAGCGAATGCTATTGGTGCTGGGCTGGAGATGGTTTATGTTAGTGTTACCCAACTCATGATAGAGCTACTGCCCATAATAAATAAACAAAAGAAAGCCCAGTCTTCTCCCACAGTTGTTCAGCTCACTTGCTCTGCTCTGTATCTCAGCCCCTTTATTGGGGTACAGAGCTTCATCAAGAACCCCAATTACAAACCCACAGATTTCAAAGTTTAAACATAACCAGAGTCTACAGTACAACAGTCTGAGGATCCATTTTTTTTAGACCAGATGCATACCTGCATTCTGCTGTCTGGGTCTCTGAAGCTAAGCTTCTCTGTCTGGCAAGCCAGAGTTTTATACGGCATTTTCAATTTGTAAGCCACCCAAGGGGCCTCTGAGCTGATGGGCGGTGAAGAAATGAAATACATACATAAATAAGGTACGAAGGGGCTCCCCAAGAGAGTCCCGCCCCACCAGTGACAACGAGGCAGAAGCTGTCTGAGCTGCCACAGCACCATTTCCCTCCAAGAGCTCAGTGCCTGCCGCAAACTCACAGGCATGGTACCCACGCAGTGCTGGGCAGGAAATGGATCAGGCCTGTGGGGCCTGATGGCGTAAGGGCTGGAAGCAGTAAGCCATCCCTATAAGGACCAAACTGAAATGTCATCATGCTGCTGCTAAAATCAGTAGCGCTTTTAAGGGTGTCTCAAGCATGTAAGAAAGCAATTCTGTTATTTTCATACGATTCAACTTATGCAGGTTCAGAATGGCATTTTTCTTTTTGAGGGGAAAAATTAGCTACTACTCCTTGGCAATGAAGACCCAAAGTAAATTATATTTCTTTAACAATATATATATATTGCTTACTGTATTTGAAAAAAATCTCTAAGTGGTTTGTCACAACCGCTACCTTTTCTGTGGTGTTCCGGGCAATGACTTGCATCCTCACTATACTGCTGCTATCTAAGCAAAAGTTTTCATTGCCATGACAACACATTTTTTCTGTACATATAACTCCCTGACTTACTAAAGGGAGTGGAGAATTTTTCCCCTCTTAGGAAGAGCAACTTGTTCTCAACATGCATATATCAAACTTCAGTGCAAATAGTACATTTGTTTTCTTGCATTCCTGGACATTTTGTTTTTTTAATCTTGTGCTTTCTTTTTGGTACCCCTGAAATATAATACAAGCCAGTTTGTTTGCCACATGTTGTGATACTCCTCACTTTGAGTCCTGTAGAGAACTTGATTTTTCTTTGTTACATTTTGTTTTGTTAATTTTAATTTAAGTATTATTCGGCTTTCCTTAGCTATTAGAAAACTATCAATTTTCATTTGCTCTCTTACGCCAACATCTTAGTTCTACCTTTATGAATTTTATGGCCTTTTAAAATTGATTTCATTACATTCACTAGTTTCGTTTAGATCCTAGTAAGAGAATGTAAAGGAATACTGGCTTTTCAAGGGGGAAGAGATACAAATAAATCATGGCAGTTTTTGTTTTGTGGGTTATTACTTGCATTTTAGCATTAAACTTTTCTAAAACATTAACCTTGATTAGGGGAGGAACATGCAAAGGAACAATAGCTTACCCATAGCAAGGAAACATTCCCAAAACAATAGCCCAGTTCATTTATAGCAACAACCCAGGGTTTTTTTTTTTTAATTCTTGTCTTGAACAAGCCAGCATGCTAGTTAATGCTGTTCTCATTTGACTCCTACGATAGCAGAAGCAGCTAAGCAGCCCAGAGATGCTGAGTGCAAACCCTTCTTTGTATGAGAAAGTAGCAAGTCAAAGTTCCAGGTTTCATGTGTAAGATTCCGGGCTGGTGAACCTCTCCTGCTGACAGTACGAGCAATCAAACAGCATAAAACTTGGCTAGTTGTTCTGTGCAAATTGCGCTCTTTGTTGGAACTATAATGGGATGCATTTTTATGTTGTAAATCTGTTATTTGTTTTTCTGTTGGTTGATGTACGTTATTTTTATTACCTCCATCCACAGAACAGAGTGCTTTCCTAGTATTTAACTGAAAAATTAGCTGAAAATTTGTCACTCTTTGTTTTGCAAAGCTGGACAGTTTTCTTGAAATATTTTCATAAAGAGATATTTTTATTTTTGGATTCAGATTCCAAGCATATAGTTAGTAAGAAGCGAAACTAAATAGCAATAACAAATATATACAGCTTTGTTATTGTTGTTATCAAGATGAACCAGGGACTCCATGACAATAATGCGTATTGCCACGGGAGCCTACACATTCTCTGGAGACCAAAATAATTGCCACTTGGCATTTTCTTCAGCTGAGGACATTAGAAGGAGCAAGGGTTGCCATGCAGGTTCCTTTTTTACCTAGATTATTTTCACATCACTTCCTGCAGCCATCTGGAATTTCTGATATTATTATAGAGGTTCTTGTGATGTGGCTGATCTTTGCGTCACATTGTTCTTGCAACATCTTCCACATGTGCTGCTGTAATGTGCTCTGTTAACAGTGAGCTTAAATGATTGCTAGTGATGAATAAAGCTACAATTACCAACTCTCAAAAATGCTGGTGCAAAAATTATTTTTATTTTTAAAGCATCAGGAAACAAAATCGTATCTTTAGTTAAATAGGACTTCATTCAACTAATAGATCAAGTCCTCTCCCCTAAGGGTTTTTTTTTAAATGCACTGCACTTTCTGAGTATCACTTTATTGACTATAGTGTCACACTCAAGTTCATGTTTTATATTCAGTTTTCTATTCAGTACGGACAAGAAAAGCCAGTTTCCTTGATTCCTGGGAATTAGTTACCTCATTTGATTTTGTGTTTCCTTTGCTGCACTTTTTAATTTGTTTTCATCAGTAGCTTGTCTTTATTTGCCTGGACTGAACATTCTTCTTTCTTTACCCCTGTTCATTGCAAACAGCCACGAGGCAAATGTAATGTCTCACAGCCTGGACCCTCTGTCAGCAGTCCACATAGCAGGTACCTTATTCTCCTGGTTTCTGCACTCTGTTCTAGAACTCCAAGAGGATGATGGAAACTGCCCATGAGCTGCCCATGTGCACATTTGCTCCGTCAAGGGAAGAGACATTAAGCCACTTAAGAAGAGGCTTGCTTCTACAAGTATCAAATTACACTGAGCCAAAATATCCTTGAAAATCCAGATACTGGATAAGTCCTCATCTTTTGCTTGGTTAACTCACATTCAAATTATTTAGAAGCATGGATGTCTGCATTAGAGATCAAAGGCAGATCCATGCTTAGGTCCATGGCAAAGACTTTTATCATCCTCTTTGTTTCTAGATGTTAAATTATGGCAGGTGTTAGACCAATACAGTATATCAGAATTCACAAAACCCATAAATCTGGATAAAATAATACACTAACAATTTCCTTCTCTTGTCTCTGGCTTTTTGAATTCAGTTTTAAAGTTTTGTTCAGTTTGTGGGTTTTCAAATTCATGACTCGGACCACATTCTAAAACCTGGAACACAGTGCAAATGAAGATTTGGAAGCGACAGACCTCTTCTCCACTCTGAGACCATTTCCTTGCAACCCTGCATACTAACCCTCATCTTAGCCTAGCAGGCCACCTTGCCTACACTGGGCACGCAGAGCAGCATGCCCCGCATTTGTGCAAACACTGGAGAGCGGTGCTTTTAGCTTTCACCTTGTGTCCAGCAGCCCGTCTTCCCTGCAGCTAACAGTGCTTCTGCATTCTGTTGGTGTGATGTCTCTGTGTGTGTCTCTATATGTCCTTTTGCCTTTTTACCAATCAACAGTTTGTCTACTTCCTTGACTCTTTCCTTCCTTGTCTGGCCTGAAATACAATAAAGAGCCCCAGATCGATCTCTCTCTCTCTCTCTCTCTCTCTCTCTCTCTCACACACACACACACACACACACACACACACACACACACACACACTTTACATTCTAGATTCACTTCCACTCCCCCCCTTGAAATTGTGTTTATATTGTCACAGGACTATGACAAAATAAAGAGTGCAAAAAACACTCTGAAAGTGTAGTTCACATCAGCTGTAGAACTAAGGCTGTTACTTCTGAGGCAAAGACATTGGTGAAATCCAGTAAAAGTTGGAAATGTATAGTTTCATTGAAATTGTGCAAGCTAAAATGTTCTCTAAAATGCTGAAGCTGTTCTGTTCATTTCAATGAGGCTGACATGCCAAGCATCTGCAAGACTGTTTTCCCCATTTGGACCTTTTAATTCAAACAGCAAGGGAATCCTGACAAAAATGCCTTTTATAGGAAGTCAACCATCCAGATAAGCATAGAATAAACCAGTCACTCTGTAAATTCAGTCACTGAGTGAATTCTGCATTTGATTACAATTCCTTTACAAATTAGGGTTTTTTTCCCCAGAAAAACCCCATTGTGAAATATGTGCATACAGGAGAGTAGAAATGCTAGTCAACTAGCAATTTATTGCCATGTGTTATTTATACTGCCGTAAAACTTTACATCTATTCATGGGGGTGCCTTTAGAATTGTGCAGTTTGCTGAAACGTGACTCAGATAGAAAATGTATTTAGTTCCCACCCTCCCCCCAAAGTGTCCATCAATCTGACAATGGCAAAATCAGGTTTTTGAAACCTAGAAAGATGCCAGAAGAATGTTCTCTGGAAAGGCTGCTTAGATGCAATTGTATTTGGAGCCCAGAAAGTGGCATCGATTGCAAATTTAATATTATCATGGACTAGAAGCTTTATTGTATAAAATAAAGCTTCTAGTCCATGTAACTAAAGAAAATATGTTGATAGTTTTGATTAAGAACATGCATTCCATTTTCCTCCATGTTCACTAAAGCTTCTTCATGACTCTTAGTCCTTCCTGCACTTGCCACTCACAAAATGAACACAAATTGTTCCTGAAATAACTTTGAAAATGAATTTTGCAATTCTGCTCGTCATGTGACCCATGCAAAGTGTATGTATTTCTGCATTTCCCATAAATCTGGGTTTCCCTCCTCAAACAGAACTGTCAAAAACTATTATTGTTTCATGCAAGTTATTGTTTCATGCAAGGACAAACTAAGAAAAACATGTTTCAATCAGCATGAGGCTGGACATTCTTTTCATACAAAGTGTAAAGATGATTCAGTGACCAAAATCAAGAAAGGGTGTATTACATTTAAAGAATCTGCAAAGTGAAGTTGGATCTGGGAAAATGGGGAAACTTGCACGTAGGAACATAGATACCCTGGGGCCTGCTGCATCCACTGACCCTCCGCTCTTTATCTTCCTCCACAAATGTGCACTTGTTTAAAAGATGTTGATATTGCAAGAACTGGGCAGGGGCCTAGCATGTGTCTCAGAAACACTTTGCACCTTCACGGTTTGCCCGCGTTCTAGCTGTGGCATCTCTGCGGCACCTCTTAGATCTGCTTTCTTCAGCTCTGTTTATTAACACACCTCTTAGCAGTACAACACAATAATCAATTTGTCATTCAGACAAGCATGGAATACAAATGGGTTTCTACTGAATAGGGAAGTTAATCAAGCCTGCAAGCCAGACAGGTTGTAGCTGATGTGTAATGTGGTTTTAACTGATAAAAGAGTACAAACTGTCACTGTGTTCTGTAATATTCTGACATGCCTCTGATCTGAGTACCTTTTGTTTGATCTTGCACTGGATCAGCAATCCTAGGCATATAAAAGGGAACTACAGTATTTAATCCAGAGACTTTTGCTGTTGAAAGTTATATTGGCAGTAGTTTTAAATTAACGTAGTATGAAAGCATCCTGGTCATCTGTAAGAAGCTGTACTTAAATCAGAGTGCAAGTGCATGCAGCCTTCGACTCAGCCATTCCGTTTTGGTTACACCACTTTTAGGAAGGCAGCAATAAAGATCTGTGACTCGGTTCCCAGCACTCCATATAATCAGTTGGATGCCTTAACTATTAAGGTTTAGTATATCAAGATTCCAGAATGTTGGGTTTTGACATGATAACATTAAAAAGTAAACAAAGAAAAATTATTTTTTGCACAAGGGAATGCACCCCCCCTTGTCACACGCAATTAACATTAAAAGACCAAATTAAATATACCATTTTTTTCAAAGCAATGCACAGTTTTTCTGCTGCTTGCAGTGGCAGGCGGAGCTGTGTGCCATGGACTTGAGACTGTATAAGTATTGAATATGCTAAAAATGTAGGAGGTTAAAGTAATTATGTGCACAAATGCATTCACAGTGTAGGTTCTGTTAAAGAGTTCTATTTAGGTCATGGTGCCAGTAATCCCAAAGGCCCATGAATCAATACTATAGTACATTAACTTACTTTTAATTTCTAATGATAACCCAGATCTGGAAGATCATCTCAGTTTTCACAGATTTTTTTTTTTAAATGCAGTAGGTGCATGTTCAGAACAAATTGTCAGTGATCAAGAATCATTTTCTCTGTCCCATTACTACCTGTGGTTTTGTCTGTGACTCTTAATTCCTTTGTTTAACTGTGTTAAAATATGTATGAATCTACTTCAAGTGAGATAGATACCAACGTGATGTTAATGAAAGGCAAAATTAACGCATCTATTATAGATGAAGAATGATATTTAAAAAAAAACCTTTAAAGAGAAAGATTAGAATCAAATCAGATATTTTCCTTAGCAAGTCTTGTGGTCACTTTGCATCTTGACTGGGCTACAACCTTTTGTGAGCAAATGGATTTCACACAGTATGTAGGATTCCCAGATGCTAAAGCATGTCTGTCTGTGGGTCCAGCATCTCTGTGCAGTGGTGTTCCCAGGTGCAGCTCTGCAAGTGCTCCTGTTAGTGATGAGGAGAGACAAAAGCCCTTTTCCCCTCCTCAGCAGCCTGCTCACCACTGTTTTCAAAGGGGCAAAGGGCCCATGGCCCTTTGTGGCATATTTGTGAAGAGGGAATCAGCAACAGTAGCCTCCACTCCTGCTCAGCTAGTGAAGATCTTCTGCCTCCAAAACCTCCATTGGATGGAAGCGGTCCTTCCCCTGGACAGCCTTTGCTGGAGCCAAAGTGATGCCAATTCAAATGTTAATCAAAGCTGCTGCAATTTTCAGCAAGGTGGAATTGATTGTTTATCCTCTGCCCTCAAGCCTGCATCCCATCCATAATTGCCTTAGTTGATGTAATGAGACCCAGTCCCCTGGATTTCAGTGACCAAAGCTCTGAAATTACTCAAGTATCCATTAGTGTGTAAATGCTTCTGATTTGATACAAAAAAAAAAATACCATGTATACATTAAAAACAGAGCTTTTGAAACTGGTCCCCTGGAGACAGGAAATCTCCGAACATAATTTAGATGCCTCTCTTGACCATTAAAGCCCTGAGCATTCTGATTGTGCTAGTTCTAGAGCACTTTCTTACTAATTACAGTATTTCAGGCATATAATTCTCTTTCTGTAGATAAGGATACAAATTATATCATATAATTTATGATAGGTCATAATGGACATGGCTTAAATAATAGCCACTTCTGCAAATTTTTAAGTTATTTAAGTATTTTTCAAATAGAAAGTTTTGTTGTTTTGATTCTGAGAATAAAGTATTTTTGTAGCAAAGCAAGGACTTGCTTCCTACAGCTCTGGCACCAATTGCTCTTTGTTCCTTTCAACGAGCTGCTTGTGGTGCATTGTTTGTTTTGCGTGCATACTCCCTTATTTGCTGAAAAGCCGTCAAAGCACTGCACAGCAATTAAAAACATGAAAATCTTAATAAGCAAGACAAGAAAATTTTGAAACTTGTGATGAAGATTTTGCACTGAAAGATTGTGATTTGTAATTTGCCATGAGCTAATTCATTTGGGCTGCTGGGATTCGAGCTATTTGACATTCAACTCCTTGGAACTTTTTGGTCCTGTAAATCTATAATTAATATTAATTGGCTTCAGACAATTTGTCGGGGATTTTATTATTATATTGCATTCTCATCTACATCATGAACTAAACAGCAGCAATAATAAAAAGATTGGGTACAGACCAACATAGTTGCATTGAGTTTCCACTGAAATCAATGTGATTCTTTTTCAATAATTGAGCATAATAAATTCACTAAATGTCATCTGGCAATAATTTCCTAAATAAGGCTCAATAAGAGAAAAACAAACATAAAAATGGAAATCAGGAGGAATAAAAATGCAAGTATCACAGCACAATTCTGTGTATGTCTGCTGGCTGGGAGGTGCCCCCCTGTAAATGTGCAGCCCCAAAGGCTAAAAGAGAACCAGGATAATGGAAAGACTGAAAAGGTGGTTGTTGTTGTTGAATATTTATACCCCATCTGTTCCCAGTGTTTGGGTCTCAAGGTGGCAATCAAAAATGAAAGCAGGAGCTAGACAGCAGATCTATTTAAAAGTGAATAACATAACCATAAACTGAATGAGAAACAGAAAAGGTAGCCAGTGCAATCAAAAGTGGACAGATATGATCATATTTATGTGGAAGAGCAATCAAGTGTCTTCAGTTGGCAAGCTAGAGACAAAAGTATTAAGAGAGGAACGGAAAGGCTTGCAAAAAGAGCATTCTAATAATCCAAATGAGATGAGAAAATGAACGACAATATGAGTAGAATCAACAGAAAGGAAATGGTACTTTTTGATAACGTTCATTTGATCCAACCACAAAAGTTCTCCCTGTTGATACAAAATGCTCCTCGAGCCAGCATACATAAAATAACATTTATTTATTTATTTATTTATTTATTTATTTATTTATTTATTAAAACATTTTTATGCCGCCCCATTCGCCAAAGCCTCGGGGCAGCTTACATCACTAAGTTAAAATAATTATAATATAAATTAAAAATATAAATATTAAAAATACAACAATACAGTATAAAATAAGCCGCCCTGGCCAGATAAAATCCAATAATATTAACAGTTGAAATGCCACTTGAATAAAAAGGCCGTGCAGATTACGTTTAGGGCTGTTTCTACCACCTTCAACATGTAACTCTTTGTTGGTATTTCTTCCCCCACAAGCTCCCTGTTCTCATGAAGTCATTGTGGATCTTCCCATTGCCTTCCATCCTGTTTTGCTGCTCTGACTAGTGGTAGCTGAATGTCCCATTGCCAGGCAGCCTTCCTTGCCTGAGAGTCACTTCCCTGGCCAAGGCCAAAAGAAGGAGGGGCGTGATGCAGGCTTCGTGCCTCAAGCGAGCTGCCAAGCTGTGACGAGGCTGCAGCGCCCGTTGCCTGGTGGTGCACTTCAGTAGTAAATGGCACACTGGATTTAACTGCTGTGAACCTGCAGGAAAGGGAAGTACTAAGAATTGTTTGAGAAGGTAGGGAAATGGCAATGGATAAACAAAAGGAACACTGGGAGGAGAATCCAAGATAAAAATAAGAGAGTCTACCTCTGAAAAGCTTTTCCTTTGAGTAGGGAGAAAGTTATGAGGAAACAGCATTATGATAAATAAGAAAGGCAAGAAAAGCAGAAATGAGAACAGAATCACTGGAGAAGGAACATGAAAAATGTGCAGAGGACCCCCAGGATGCTGAGGAAAGGAAGGAGGAAGAACTTAAATACAAAGGTGAGGATAAGAAGAGTGGCAAACAGACCCATGGAAGCTGCTGTGATGTACCAAAGAGAGAAACAGCAATTGACAGTATGGGGAGCTGAAGGTAAAATAAGAAAAAGGCCATAATACTTTTACTGCTAGTGGGACAAAAAAATAAAGTAGTTTCTGGTCTGGAAACCAGGCTGATGAGAATTAAAAGAAAGTCATGTAACATAAAAACTGAGAAGATAGTCAAGCAATGTAGAAAGAAATGAAAGAAAAGCCAAACAATAATTAGGCAAGAGCAGAAGAATCAAGAGTTGTTTATTAAAAATGGAAGGGACTAATTCAAATTTAAAATCAAATAGGAAAATACTAGTATCTAAAGAAAGATGGTAGCTGTTGTTATACATATGCTTCTATTTAGGGAGACCTTTAAAGTTCTCTGAGCTGGGGCTCAAAAATAAATTCTGAGCCTTCTCAAAGCTTTACAGACCCAAAAAGCATCCTCCAGCTTGTATTATGCCTTACATAGAAAGTTTGTCAACTGTGTTGAGATTTTGTTTTCAGTTTGCAGTGTGCCTTTCTTCCAGGGAACACAGGAGATTCTGCCATTCTGCTAAGTAGCTCAGGTTGAGTGATACAAATGGCTCAAAGTAACCCAGAGTGTTTCATGGCTGAATCCAGCTGTGGAAGAGAAGAGACATTCAGATCATAGGAAAGGAGGAAGAATGGTTGCTGAAACTGCTGATTTCTTCTTTTTCAAGAAATCTGTACATGAAACATAGTGCATACATCCCTGCACTTTTAGGCTCAAAACAGCAAATCCATTCTCTGCCTTTTTTCCAAGGATATGGATTGTACAGTCAAAGCCCCTGCACACTAGGCTGAGTGTGCATGTAAATATCATCTCCAGATCATTGGCATGGGACCCCGTGAAGCAGGCCAGCAGGCAAATCTGGGCAGTGCACGTACCCACACGCTATTACATAGCTGCAGCCGGCGTGACTGCCAGAGTCATGTGAGGGACTAGCCACAGCCATGAAAAGGGCCGTGAAGGAGCACTGCCTGTTCCCTTTGTCTCTTGGCACATTCATTTCCCAAGTTAGCATGGCCAGGTACTGTAAGGTGAGGTCTAATTGAACTCTGATGCTGTTAAATGTGCCATATCCATGCAATGCATGCATAATGTAAGGCCATACCTAATACTAAGCAGCTTCAGTGATGTGCTTGTGAATAATCTCCAACCTTTGTTTTTGATCTTGGACTTCTTGCCAGTTCTATCATCTCGAACAGTTAATCATTTATTCACTTTGAACATTCAAGTCTGCATTAGTCAACTAAAATTAGCAAGCAGAACTTCCTGGTTTTCTTGAGGTTTTTGAGGAACGGGAAGATATGTGCCCAATTTATGTGCCCATAAATTGCCTGTCACAGTGAAATGGCACCTCGCTCACACAGCCCTTCAAGTTAACAAGGTTGATATCACTTCCTGATGTGGAAACCAGAAACCCTTGTCAGGACAGGCAACAGCGCTTTTGTTGGGTTTTGCTGATACCTTTTTCCTGGGTTATAAATTATGTTTCATGAGGAAGGATTCATCTGAAATTCAACAATGGTTTTTAATTGCTGATTCAGTGCAAAATGAGGCCGTGCCGGACTGTGGCAGGCTACCTGGAGCTAAACTCCTGCAAACTCAATGCCGGCATATTATTATGCTCATGAAATGAACTAATTATTTGGACCACATTCCTAATGAAAAATTGTTGATGCATATACGCTTGCATCCCAGTCTGAAGAGCAAATCCTATTATTTGTTTAGAATTGCATCCCTGTATGTTGACATCATAATGAGGTACATTTTGAGTCACTTTCCAACCTGGTTGTAGCTTTAGAATTATGTGGGGGATAGCACATCAGTTATAATAATTATGCATCTTATTTCTAATCTGTTTCAAAGTGAACTTCCAGAAAATGTCCACTTGAGCATAGATGTATTTGGAATCCCTAAATGGATGCTCCAGGAAGTGCACTGGCACAAGCATCCTGTGTGGGGGGAGCAGGAGTTTACCTCTGCAATGGCTTGTCTTTTCAGGTGCACAAGAGGTGGCTCAGATTCCTCCCCTTCTGAGGGTCATCCAGGGCAGCGGCAGCGGCGGCAGCATTGCTTCTTTCTCAGGGTCCTCAGAGCTGCTCTCCCACTTCAGCTCCTCTTGCTCTTCCTGATTGGACTTGCCTGCCTGGTGCCGATGACAGAGGAAGACTACAGCTGTGCTCTTTCCAATAACTTTGCCCGCTCCTTTCACCCCATGCTGAGATACATGAATGGCCCGCCACCGTTGTGAGGCCTCTGGGAAGGTGATGAAGAAGTGAGAGCCTCTTCAAATGAAGGTGCACACAGTCTGGTCCATCACTCACCTGTGACCTCTGCCATTGGATAAGTACACGTCCTGGGACTGTTAACCACATGTCAATATCAAAATGAGTCATGCATTATCTGATGGATATCATTTAAAAGTCACATGTCCGGCACTGAGAAGACAACGAAATAAGAGATTTTTTTTTTTTCCTCAGCCAGCATTCTGGGGTTTTCAGTCACCTTTATATTTGAGAGCCTTGCCCAATACTATGCACAGCCAAGGACTTCAGCCTGAAGGAAGACATATCCTGTGTGCTACGCATATCAATCTATTATTCCATCTTTCCTTATCTGCACAAGTGGTATTTTACTATATATCACTCAAACCATGCTACAATGATTTTAGAGACTACTGTAATATAACATTTGGAAGAGCTTGTAAGTTTATTATTTTCCCCATTTTTTGTGGGATTTTGGATGGGGCACGGTATTCTAATCTTTGTTTTCAATGAGCAAGCTGTAAATCTGAATGGCACTTTTTATAGTTTAAAAAATGGATGTAATAAATGAGATCCTGAAAGGCTTTATGAAAAAATCATGAATGTGCAGTATTAAAAAGAAACATATTTATGTATGTACAGTTTGCTAAAACTAGTTTTGTTGTATTGATTTTTTTGTTAGAAAAAGACCAAGAACTCTTTTGTCTGTATGCTTTGAAAACATATTTTGGAGCAATATATAAACAAAACATCAAGGCTAAATCTCTCTCTCTCTCTCTTTCACTCACATGCACACACACACACAGACAGTAGACCAAAGTTCAGCGTGATGGAGCACCTGCTCTGCATGCAGAATGCCCCAGGTTCAGTCTTGGGCATCCCCAGATAGGGCAAAAAAACCTGCCTGCCTGCACAGCCATCACCAGTTTGTGTGGGCAACGCTGCCTGGACTGGATGGAGGCACAACCTGATGGGCAGCTTCCTATGCTGGGCACACACATACACACAGGCATGTTACAATTCTGTAGAACTGAAGGCCATGATAATGACCTACTTGCAGACAAGTGAGAGTCCCAGGATATGCTTGTCTGTTGGAAGAATCTTCTGTTCAAAGAAATGGCCTAATTAAGAGAAAAGGCACCTGAAAGTGCCTGCAGGAAGGACCCCACTTCCAATGCACAGGCTGGATGGATGCATGTAGCCAGGTTGGAGTCAGTGCAGCGTAGGGCCACAAGGTTGGTGGCCGGTTTTCAGGGGGTGCCGTATGAGGCGAGACTGAGGGAACTGGGTCTCTTCGGCCTGGAGGAGACTCAGAGGGGATCTGTTGGCGGCATACAGGTATGTGAGGGGAGAGATGGGTAGAGACCTGTTCTCCCCTGCAGAGGAAGGCAGGACGTGCTCCAACAGAGCAAAGCTCAGGGAACCAAGGTTCCATTTGGATGCCAGGAAGCACTGGCTGACAGTCAGGACCCCGAGGGTGTGGAATGGGCTTCCACGAGAGGTTGTTGAGGCCCCATTGGTGCAGGTGTTCAAGGATAGGCTGGGCGTCCACATGGTGGGCATGTCATGAGTGGAGCCGGCTGGAGCCGGGGGTCAGACTAGATGGCCTGGGAGACCCCTTCTGACTCGCTCTGTTTCTGTTTCTATGTCCCCTATCCCTATTAAGAATGCTAGAGCAAACCTCCTGCTCCAGTGATTCGCAATCTATGCACATGTGCCAAGTTATCTGCGTTGAAGTGCCGACTCTCTATTCAGCCCAAGAGACTTCGAATGCAGATGTGTGCATAGATACACAACTTCTACAAGCATCCCCAAACTGAGACCAGACAAGTTATCACACTGAATTCTGGTATTATTTCCATTTATTTCATTTTGACTGGTATCTTCTAGCAATTGACTTATTTAGGGGCCTATGCATTGTAGCTTCGTGTTGCCCTCGAAGGATTACAGGATTTTATTGAGCATGGGAGTAGGAACCAAGCCAAGATTCCTTCACGCTTCTTCTGTCCTTTAAAAGACACAGATGGCCAGGGTTGGTGAGAGTGTCTTTTGCCCCTGCTCATGAGGAGGAGGGACTTGGGCATGGCCGGGATTTCTCATATCCTGGCAGAGCTTCATTTTTCCCCTGCCCACCCGGAGCTGCACTGGCTGCAGGGGTGGAGAGGATGTGCTTAGTGATCAGATCCTTAGCACTGGCCTTGGAATGCTTTTCCCAGGTTAGAGCTGAGAATCCACCTGTCTGGACAGTGTCTTTTTCTTTACATGCTGCTTATATTAGCAAGTTTTGCTTTCAGTTATTCATAAAGTACATCAAATTGCAACAGACTGATACATGAAGAGGCATAAATCTCTCCAAATATCTAGCAGAATATGAACATATTCAAAGATTCATGCATACCTGATGGTGGCAACAGAAGAGGACAACAAAAATTAGTAATAGTAAATACCTTCTTGATTGGCCAACTGCTATAAGTGTTGGCCAATGTATCCTGGCAAATAGATGGGGAAGAAATGGAGGTAGTGACAGATTTTATTTTCCTGGGCTCCAAGATCACCGCAGACGGGAACTGCAGCCAAGAAATTAAAAGACTCTTGCTCCTGGGGAGGAAAGCTGTGGCAAATCTAGACAGCATACTAAAAAGCAGAGACATCACCCTGCCAACAAAAGTGCATATAGTCAAGGCTATGGTTTTCCCAGTTGCAATGTATGGCTGTAAATGCTGGACCATAAGGAAGGCTGAGGGCCAAAGAATTGAGGCCTTTGAATTGTGGTGCTGGAGGAGACTCCTGTGAGTCCCTTGGACTGCAAGATGATCAAACCAGTCAGTCCTAGAGGAGATCAACCCTGACTGCTCTTTAGAAGGCCAGATAGTGAAC